CGGCCAACGACACGTCCATGCAGCCGCCATAGGCGCTTGCGTGAATCGCGTGGTTGACACGGACGCGCGCGAGGCCATATCGCTCGCCAGTTGCGAGCTCAATCGACGCCGTCGTGCACAGGCGCATGGGCCGGGGCGGCATGCCTCGCCCGCCAAAGCCCACGTCGCAGAGGTACGGCGTGGCGTCGCCCTCAATGTACACAAGCAGGAGCGTGTGCGTCAGTGCTTGAAGCTCGTAGTATGGCTGCGCCAAGTCCGGCGCCGGGAGCACGACGCGGCCGCCAATTGTATCAACTTGATACCCAAGCGAGCGCAGGACGAGGGCGAAGAGGCCGTTCGTCTCGAAACAGTAGCCGCCGCGGCGATCCCGAACGAGCTTTTGAAAAATCTTGTCGGCTGCGATCGAGACAACTTGACCGGGAATCGACGCATCGACGTGATCGGGGTTGACGGGAAACACGCGAGCAGGCGTGAGGTTCTCGAACGGAATCGCAATCGCGTGCGTCACTTGGAGGAGCGTGAGGAGCTCGAGCGACCGCGGCGCGTACGAGGCGAGGTCGTGGCACGTGAGCCCGAGACGACCCCAATAGGCATCCATGTCGATGCCATCGGCTGTGGACGTCATATTGTGAATTAAGATCTGAGTGTTTGCCTGTGGACCAGGACAGGTTCCAGGTGTTGTTCCGACGCTGCATGCATAGACCACTATCGAATACAAAAGAAGAAAGATACATGCATTCCTAATTCCAAGAATTGTTCGGACGTCGAAGTGAAAGATCGCGAGTTAACGTTAGCGGGAAAGTACTTGTGCTACTGCTCCACGTTTGGATTGATGACATCATTACGTCTTGCAGTCATCTCCACACGAACCGAGCCTTCGCGATTCCGTGTGTCGCATCGTGCTTGCTAGCTCGTATCACGAAGAACACCTTCGCCGACTAGTTCAGTGTACATCTCAACCTACTTGCAATCCTATTCGTGTGCTGTGTAGGACTAGAGTGTTGCGAAGGGAGGATCGAGTCGCATCATTCTACGCTGCCACGTCATGGCACACAATACCTGTCCAATTCGATAATGCACTTTCTGAAAACCTCTGTCTTTTGATATTGCGCGGTGGCTCCATGGACCAAATTGACCGAACGTGCCATGGCCAGGCGCGCGAGCTCTACACGCGGGTCGTCCACGAGATCTGCGGCGAAGGCTTCGCCAACGACCTGCTCCCAGGCCGCGACGCTGCCTTCTACGTGGCGCTGCAGGAGGTAACGCCCACTGCCAGCTCGCCCGCCGCCTCACGACGCATGCGTAGGCATGGATGGCCAAGCTCGCCGAGCACATGGCTTTGCCAGCGCTCAAGGTCGATGAACCCGCGCCAGCGCCAGGAGAGCCCGATGCAGCGAACGCAGAGGAAGAAGAGACAAAAGAAGCACCTGTGCAAGACGCTGAGGAAGCTCGCGTGGACGAGCCGGTCGACGTGTCTGCTGCCACCAGCGACGAGCCGGTAGAAGCACCTACTGCCACCGCAGACGAGTCAATCGAAGAGCTTGCCGTCATCCCAGACGAGGCGCCCGTTGAAGCGCCTGCCGTTCTCCCGGACGAGATGCCGGCGGATGAGCTCATCAACGCGCCCGCCGACGAGCCTTCACACGCACCTGTGGACGCATCTCCCGAGCTACCTGTGGTGGTCCCCGAAGCGGCTCCAATGCAAGCGACAGCGTGCGACGCATCCAGCGAATCTGACGAGTCGGAGCCAGCACCAGCTTCACGCCCGCCGTCGCCGTTGGTCCCGCATCGGTTGCCCCTGATGCGCCCGCCCGTCAACCTCTTCAACATTGGCCGTCCTGCCTCCTATATGGTACGCAATTGATCACCGCCAGGGACTTGATCGAGCACATTCAACCTGTAGAGAAACCCACACGCCGACAAGCCACCAGTGCCCATCATAGTCCATGTACCGGCACCGATACGCCGCAAGGAAACACCTGCAAAAGAGGTAGAGAGATACGCTATCTCGGTACCTCTTATGACAACTTTGTGCATATTTAGCCCCCAAAAAAGAAGCGTCGCGCGACCAAGACGCCGAAAGCAGCGTCCACTGCAGCAAGCGTACCCGCAACCACCGATGATGTTGTCGAGCCAGAGGCAGCTGTCACCGGCGCGACGCCAGCCACCGAGCTCTCGTCCGATGCTCCCCCAACAAGCAACGCGCCTCCCGACACCAACACAACCAACGAGTCTACAGCCGAATCAAGCGCGCATACGGCCAGTGTGCCTGTCGTCGTTCCACCTCTGGCCCCCATCGACTTTGCGTGTGGCAACTGGCTTGGGATTTACACGTCGATGGCCCAACGCGGCCGGCGCAAGGAAGGCATCTACCGACTCGGGCTCAAAGCGACGCTCCTCCGACTCTATGTGCAGGTGACACCACGCTTGCTCGTCCAGCACGCCTACGTCCGCGACGGCAACAATATTGTCCGCGTCCTTGTTGACCAGCAGCGTGACGACGACCTCGTCATTCGACTCCCAACGGGGACCACCGAGACACTGCCGTATGGGCGTGTGTGCATCGCAGTCGACTACTTTACATCGCGCGGCGAGGCCCAGCTGCAACTGCCGCAATAAGCCAACTCTAAGATCTTTAGTCGGTCAAGTTTCGCGATGACAATGCATTTCAACGATTGCACGATGGTGCCAGTGACCACGGGAACTCAAATCTCATGCATCCACGATGCTTTCGCAACCTTCTCGAAGGCTCCCGATTACGTACCCGAGAAGGTGTAATACCTCCGCACAGGTGTCGATGCTAAGTGTCTCTCATACTCCAAAGGTGCGTTCAACGACTTGAGCTCCATATCTCTACTAGTACCTACAAGTACGTCCTTGCTTCCCGCCGCCAACTCGAAGCCACTCACAAAATATTCCCGACGCACACCTTGAATGCTGGTGGAGATCTGCACACTGCAGTGCCCACGGTGCATCTCCTCCGCACCAAGTTGCTCGCGCCTTTGAGCAGTTACGAGTTACAATGACGATCGCGTTCCATGGCGTGCTTCAAGCGACGGTCAATCGTATCCACTGTATCGGATACTGTTCTGTATACTAGAAGTACCGTGTACATGTTGTCTATTGCAAAGGCCCCAACTACGGTATACTCGTGGAGCGCGCGAAAGGATACCCAATGATGTCGGAGCGAGTTGCGGCACAGAGCTAGCTGACCACCCACGGGCAACACGGGCTGAGCTCACGCCCATATATTCGTACCTACGATTACCCACGAATGCGCGCTGGTAGCGTCGGCAACGGCACTTGACTGCGTTCGCCCCGCATAAACAAGCATGGACACCGTCCCATCGCTTGCCACAACACGTCGTGCTGCACCTATCAGTATCACTGGCTTCCAGTGCATCATCGTATACACTGTAATTTCCTGTAGACAGGCGGTTTCTTCGCGTGCGTCGCTGGCACTGCCGACCGGCGACTGCGCTGCGGCTCAGACTTGCAGTGTTGGTTCTGGTGCAGGTTCTCGTGACTGTTTTGGTCTTGTGGTTGCCGGCGATCATCGCGCTTGGTGGCATCTGATCTGACGTCGTGTCACGGCGCGTGTAACGTGCGCCGATCGCATGCCAGGCCACTGAAATCACTGGCGCATGTCGCGACGTTGCCGCCACTAGTGAATCGACCTCACAGACCCACCATGGTTGCCATGGTATTGACCAGCGGCGCGTGCCCGTATACGCTGCCGACGAATGCGACGCTCCTCGTCGCCGACGCCATGTGCCTTCAGGCGCGCGCAACAGTCTGCGTCGTCGCGCCCGTGGCCAGCGCAACGGTCGGCCACGCCTGCAACGTGACCAAGACCTTTCCAGATGCGCAGACGACGTTCACGGACATGACGCTGCTGGGCGACGTCCGCAGCTACACGGCGCCGTCGCTGTACGCCGCGATATCATCCTGGTCGTTGCTCACATGCGCGCGTAGGACGCTAAAGGGCGTCGCGGCCACCAGCATCGACCTCAGCAGCATGCAGCTCTCGCCGTCCATTCGCACCTTGTAGGTCCTTTGAGATGCGGTCGGACACTCATACCTTGTATCGCTTAGGGCGTTGCAGGGCTATGCGTCGCTGCGTGGCTGGCCGGCGCTGCCCTCGACACTCACCACGCTGTACGACACCACATATGACTACAGCTCGGAGGCTCATGCAAATTCATGCAGGAAGGTGCTAAATGTCGGTATGACGGCGCCGCCATCGGTCACGGCGGCCAGCAGCCTCACGGCCTTGTACGTTCGGAGATTCGATTGATGGCGAGAGCTCATCCTGTCGGCGCAGGGATCTCAGCGGCAACAAGCTCACGAGTCTGGCCTCAAACGCACTCCCGACGTCGCTCACTAGCCTGTACGCTCGGCGTACTGTCGTACGGTGGACTCATAGAGTCGTAGGAACCTCGCATCCAACCAGCTCTCTGCCTTTGGCGCGCTGGACGGCCTTCGCTTGACCTCGCTGTATGCTCACAACTTTAGTCCAACGGCTGATATATGGACGTAGCAATTTGGACGAAAACCCGCTCCAGACGATCGAGAATCTGAAAATGACGTCGGACGCGCCGGCCTTGTACGTCCTTCTGCACGACCCAAAGAAGCTCATGCTTTCATTCTAGCTCGTGCGCCAAGTGCAGTCTCTCGAGCTTCTCGATGGACCGGACGACGTACGACGGCCTCTCGCGGCTTGCGGCGCCCGCAAGCTTTGCGTTTGCACCGCCGACCAATTGCGCTGGATCGATCGAAGATCTATGGGGCATGAAGGCGTGTGTACTTGGCGCCAAAGCGCTCAACAGTATGCACATGTGTACGATGCAATGTCCTCACGCCATGACGTAGTCAGCGTCATCATTGCCGGCTGCATTGGCGCGGCGGTCGTCCTCGCGGTCGCCGCGTTCATCTACTGCCGCCACTACAAGCACAAGCGCGAGGCCAAGAAGATGGCGCGGGAGAACGACACGGCGTACGTGCTACAGGTCAAGGACCTCCAAACCATGCGCGACATTGATTTGCTCGGGGACTTCCGCCTTCCGCTCGACCAAGTCGTGGTCCTCGACCGCCTCAGCACCGGGGACCTCTGGAAAGGCCTGTACGAGGGCCACGTCGTCTCGATCCGGTACCTCTTTATCTCGTCGTCGACCACGTCCGAGATGCAGGCCGGGATTCAGCAAGTGTTGGCCGCAACCCGGTACATTGCAACCCCACCCCTACCCTACCCCCATAGATTTTTCTCAATTTGGTATGGCGTAGACTGGACAGCCGCTACGTGCTCTCGCTGCACGGTGTCTCGTGGACAACGCCAAAGGACCTGATGCTCGTCCAAGAGTTCATGGACATGGGCGACCTCCAAATGTATCTGCGGAATCTCAACGCGCAGCAGATCCAGTGGAAGTGGAAGACCAAGACGCTCGAGCAGATCGTGAGTGCGCTCGCGTACCTTCACCACACGGCCAACTTTGTGCACGGGCACGTCTGCGCAGCCAACGTCCTCCTCGACGGCGTCAAGGGCGCCAAGCTCATGATGCTCGATGCCCAAGCGCCGAGCAGCAGCTTCCGCCACATGGCCCCCGAGGTATTGCGCGGCGAGCCGTTCTCAGCGGCCGCCGACATCTTCTCCCTTGGTCTCCTCCTCTCGGAGCTGGACACACACGATGTGCCGTACGGCCATTGGACCGACCACGATGGCTATGACGACCTTGACGACGAGGACGACGAGGACAAGATGACAACGTCGCATGACCAAGCCGAGGAAGACAAGCGGCTCATGCAGCGCATCATGGACGGTGACGTGGCGCCCGTGTTTACACCGGCGTGTCCGTCGTGGGTGCAGTCGCTCGCGACTCGCTGCTTGTCGCCCGACCCGCTCGATCGGCCAAGTGCTGCGACCATATTGCACGAACTCGAAACGACGCGCGCGTCGTACTACTAGATCGCATAGTCGTACGTAGTTGACGTTAGAATAGGTTAGGTTTAAGGTTATGACGGAATAAATAAGGCGACTTTACGAGACGAGCAGCGGGGCTATGCACGTGGCGACCGCGGTGTGGCCGCGCGCGAGGGCCAAGCGGTGCATGTCGCGCGTGCAGCGCAGCTGGCGCGCGTCGGCAAGAAACGCAACGACGTCGGCATGGCCATTCGCGATGGCCCAGTCCATTGCGAACGAGGTGCGCCCGCCGACCTGGCTGTGGTCGACCAGGTGCATCTCGAGCGAGCACGCGCGCACCGATGTGAGCGGGTCGTCGTCGGCTTCGTCGAGATCGCCGTCGAGCGTCATGAGGCTGCTGCTGCACGTCCGTCGGTGGAGGCTCGAGCGCCGGCCTTGCACCTTCCAGTAGCCGTACATGGCCGTCCACTGGCAGTAGCGCCAGCTGCGCATGCGCTCGATCGTGTGCCACGATGCATTGTGCATCGTCGGTCCCTCGGTTCGATGAGCGTGCAGAAACGTGACGACCTCCAAGTGGCCATTCGCCGCCGCCAAGTCCATGGCCTGCGTCGTACAACCTTCGTGTCGAAAGAGATGCAGGAACCGGACGACGTCGAGGTGGCCGTTGGCGGCGGCAACGTCCATGGCGCGCGTCGTGCAGCCTTCGTCGCGGTGGTGGTGCAAGAAGGCAACGATCGCGACATGCCCGTTCGCAGCCGCCAAATCCATGGCGTCCGTCGTGCATCCGTTCTTGCGGTGCTCGTGGAGGAAGACGAGCACATCGAGGTACCCGTAGCTCGCGGTAAGGTTCATAAACGTCCGCGAAAAGTACCGAGTCGACGAGGTGTAGAGCTCGCGCAGAAAGAGCATGCGCGAGACCGGGTCGGCGATCGCATCCAAGATGAGCCGTGCGCGGGCTGACGGCTCGCGCTGGCCCCGCCACTGCCGTTCAAGGCGCTTGATGAGGAAGCGGCTGCCCGGCTGGAAGGCGGTGATGCTGCGCCAGAGGTCGCGGTTCGTGAGCACGTTACTGGAGCCGGCGACGTCGGTGGCGTCGTCGTGGCGGCGCGGGGCAGCGCAGCAGAGGAGGTGATGAATCGCGGCCGAGGACGTGGCGTAGCATTGGCCCATGCGTTGGCGGGCGAGACGTAAAGTGGTTCAACGACCCGCGGAGACAGCGACTGGTGGCGGCGCTGATTTCAGACCAGACAGGCGGTCCGCTCGGGTTTCTACTCTCTCTTTTTTGGCCCACCCCCAGGTCCTACTTTTTTCATTTCGGCTGTAAAAACTCGTATTTTATTGGGACCTGGTCGGGGCCCAGAATATTTTCGAAGCCACATTCGATAAAATGGGTGCATGCAGAAGGGGCTATGCTTCGCGTCAGGCTGATGGCACATTACACCCTTTACGGCCATGGACAGCCGAGCACATCCAGTGCGTCGACGTCGTTCTTGTTCCCGCCTCGGCGCCGGCTCGTGACGTTTAGCAAGTTCGAAGGGGCGTCCTAAAGATGCTACTGTCGCAAAAGATGCTACATGGATCGCAGAGATGCACAGAGCTGAAGAGACGAGGCTCGCAAGGGCCGAAGCGGGTACCAAGATCGCGTCTGCCTCGTAAAATGCGTGGGATACTTAACAATAATGGTGGTGACGGCGCCTTGGCTTTGCTTGGCTATCAAAAGTTGGCGTGAACGGTCGACTGTCAGCGCCGGGCCTCGGGCAGGACGATGTGGATGACGGGCGTGGTGGTACTGTAAACGGGAAGGTCCACGTGGTGTCGCGCTGGTTCCCGTTGGATCTGGTTAACGTCAGGTTGCATCAAGAGCTCGTTTCTCTGCAAAACTGGATTGTGATTGGCACCCAGCTTGTCGACCCGGCACCAGATTAGATTACGGGTCGCGATGCATGTACACTTGTATCCCAGACATAATGCTCGTTCATTAGTTTGAAATAAGACAATATATCTCGTCGTCGACGTTATATTATTCGATGCGACGCTCTGCTCCGGCCACGTTTTTGGCGCCAAGCACTGCAACACGCTGCAACTCTGAGACGAGCCACAAGCGTTGGTCAGCAAAAATTATTCGATAATACTGTCCCTTGCTTCGGAAGTGTGGACCTAAATATGCATTTCCTATATCATGTGCATAGTACCACTTATTTACCTTGACTCGTCAGGGTCGTTGCCGCCGACATTCTCTGGCGATTTGCATCGATGCGGTTGCTGCCGATCGCCTCTACTGGCTCTGCAGTGGCAGGCAGTGAACCAAGCTCGGCTTCAGGGGGCCCTTCGTCGTCGCGATTAGCAGTGGTGTGAAAAGTGATCCGAGAGGATACTAGTCCGCAAACTGACATGACATTGTCAGATTTGCGAACGGGTCTGCAGCGGTTCACCGGATCTGGTAGCGAAACTGCCCGACAGTCGTGTTGGTTTTGCCCGTCTGATCAGCCGCGACCTCCAACACCATGCCCGCCATCTCCATTGGCGTCGCACCGCCGACAGAGCAAGTCCCAAGCACTCTCCATACTCGGCGCCAACATGGTCTTGCGGCTGTCGGTCTCAACTATCTGCTCGTGTCGCTCAGCGTCGGAGTCTGGTACCTCTTGTTGCTCGCGCCCAGTCTCACCAACGATCTCTGGCTGGCGGGGTTCACACCGACGGGCTACGAGGCCCTTCTCATCGACTTGCTCAACGCGCAGTTGGCCGTCTCGGGTGCCGGTGCCTTCAGTCTCTACGGCGCCAACGCGACCAGCACCAAACTGTACAATGTGTCGAAACCGACGACCAATGTGCTTCCAACGTATGCCCGGACGATTCTCTTTACTGAGCTCACCTCGATCGAGTACGCAGTGCGTCAACTCCGATCGCTGAGCGCAAAGTGGTCGATTCGCATTGACGCCCACCACTGCTGGGTCGACTTCAACCAGACGTTTGAGGTCGCGCACTCAGTGGCGCGTCAGCGCCGGTGCCGAGACCTCTATGCCTCGAATGCTGCCGTCTACATGGAAGCGGTCTTGCGCAACGTGGTGTGGAGTGACTTTATAGCGGCGTGGGGCGGGGACAATGGCTACTTTACTGTTGCGGTCCAGCTCGCTCTGCAAGAAACGTCCCGAGGCCAAACTTTTTTGGATATGGTGTCCGTCGCGCGCGATACGACGACCCCGGAGCAAGAACTGATCTACTGGCAACGCTACGGCTTGCGGACGTTCCAGCTGCAATGGCAGAGTCGGTGGCAGGCCAGCATCGTCGAATCCATCGTCTTGCGAAATGCGTTGGGCATGCAGCAGAACTTGGTTCTGAAGAACCTGCCGCAGGGCACCGGGCCGTGGACGACTGGCAAGCTCTATTGGCTTCCCATCAACGATCTCATACAACCCCGGCGCTTCAAGCGCAGCCTCGTGCGAGGCTCTGCTCGGTATTTCGGGGCCAATATCTCCACCAACTTGCCGGCCATTGATGTCGAGGTCATGGATGGCATCACGTTGGTGCCCGGGCAGTTTGCAAACCAATCCGCCGTCTTTCGCACCGTCATTGGTCCGTTCCAGGGCGTCGACTGCATCTTCGTCGAGCCCCCCAGGACGCTCAAAGCTCTTTTAAAAGCTCTTCACGCGTCCCAGCAGCGCCCCGGGACTCTGCCACCCGCGACTGTGGCCCTCACACCGCTCTCGTGGCGTCGTTTTACGAGCTTTTACGGAGGCAATCTCATGTGCATGGTCCTGCCTCAAACAACCTACGTCCAGCAGTCCTTTGACTTCTTCGATGCTTGCACCAAGCCCGAGCCACTCGCCATTAGCATGGATCCAACGGCGCTGCGTCTCGCACGGGCGGCCACCTCCAACTTGAGCATTCGCGATGCTTGCCGCGCTGCGTCGCCCGCTTCTGTCTGTGAAGTCGCTGTTGACGATGTCGCCCCGCTCTCCATCTCGATCGAGTTGCTTGCGTCAACGACGTCCAGTGTCATGGCCTCGGACGTTGGCTTGATGCAGTATGCGACCGCCGCCAACGGTACGTGGGTCGTCTTGCGCCAGTCACTTCTCGAGCCATCGTTTGCTCTCTTTGGCTGGCTCTTCCTCATCGATTGGGCGCTCGGTCGTCGCGAAGTTGTCTCATTTCAAGGCGATGTCGGCACCCTCACGCTCATCTCCAACGTCTATGCGCCTCAGCTGTACACGACGGGGACGGAGCCGCTCCAGACTGCGACGCAGATCTTGTACTACCTTGTGGTGGCGACGTCGGTGATTCTCGTCGGCGTCGGTAGCATCACGCTCGTCTACGCCATCAAGACGCGTTGTCGCTTCAACGGTGTCAACCTCTTCTTCTTCAACCGTGTGGTTGGCGCCGTCTGGCTCGGTCGGCCGCTGGCCTTTCTGCGCGGTGCATCAGCCGTATTGCTACTGAGCTCGGCCAGCGTATCGCTCTCAACATCTTCAGATGGCGTCTCTCGATTTGTCGCGAGTCCGCGGAGCTGGCTTGCGACGGCCGTTGTCACGAGTGAGGCCACGTGGCTGACGTATGTGGCCAGTGACGTCTTGGTGCTCGTGACGCGTCAGCATACAAGGCCCTTCAGTGCTATTGCGAGCTTGGTGTCGTGGCTGGTGCTATTTCTTCTTGAAGTCAGCGACCCAGTGCAAGTGACGGGGACACTTCAGAGGGCGTGTGTGGGTGTCGATATGGACTATGGTGTGGCGTGTACGAGTGGCGTCGTGTCAGTCGGCAGTCTCACTCGCATGGCGACCGTCGGTGGCATCCAAGCTGCTGGTATTGCAGTCTCACTAAGCTTGAGTTTGATGAGCGCCACCAGAACGACCAGAGCCGGAAAAGGGTCGGAGGTCGAAGCCTCACTCTTGCTAAGCAGCATCGCGCATGTCTTCTTGGCGACCGAGTCGTCGTCGACCCGAGCGTCCATCGACCACGTCAGCTGCGTTCTCGCAGGTCTCTTACCGCTGCGACTCTGGGGGAAAGCGTACCTCTTTGACGTCAAGCTCTGGCTCTTGATCCGGGACGAGCTCTCAACGGTGTCACATCTCGCAGTGTTGCCCCGCCCCGTTTTTGCCACCTCCACCAAACGCAAGGCTGGGCCAGCAGTCACCTCAGTCGTCCATTACGTACCGACTGCCGCGTCGAGTGGATTGGCCCACGCTACCAAGTTCCTCGGTCTCTGCTACGTGGCTTCCTCGATCGTTGGCTCTATCTCTTACCTCACAATCTCCCAGGTCAATTTGGCCAACGACGTCTTCTGGGCCACCTTTAACACGACAGGAGCACACGCCTTCTTCGCCAACTGGCTCAACGAGCAGCTCGTCTTGGGCAATACGACCATGATTGACCTACCCCTCGACCGACCGAGTATCAACGCAATGGCGTCGTTCGCGTCGCAGTCGGCAGTGGTGACGTCGCCTGCCAACTACGGCGCCTACCTCCAGCACACGAGGCTCAACACCATCGAGGCGACGATTCGCGGTCTCCGACGGTCGAATGGCTGCGACGCGCCATGGATCTTCTCGCCGTACTGCTACGTGGATATGCTCAAGCGCTGGGAGATGGCCAACTCGGCCACGCGCCAGTCGCGGTGTCTCAATATGACGTCGAACGGCGCCGTCTATCTCGAGACTGTGCTCCGCAACATTGACTTTGATGCGTTTCACATGTGCTGGGGCGCGGCCTTCGAAATTGCGGTCGCATCCGAGCTGGGCTTGTCGTCGGCGGGCAAGACATGGCTCACGACGACGACGTCAACGACAAAGCAGAGTGTGGACGACGAAGCAGCGTACTGGCGACAACATGGGGTACGAACATTTGATACGCAGTGGCAAAACTACAAGCAGCTCGGCGTACGCAACCAATATTCGATCACCAACGCTTTCGGCATTTCATACCCGCTCAAGCTGGTCTCCCAGGCCACCGTCGACCGCGTCGACCGTCAATCTACGTTCAAGATGTACTGGGCTTTGGCGAACGACCTCTCGGCGGTCGTCTCCAACGCGTCCGGCATGGCTGGCTCAAGTCTGATTCGATCGAGTGCACGCTATGCCTTTAGCAACACGACTCTAGCAGCAGTTTATATCACCAAAGGACTCCTATCCTCGCCACTGCCGCGCGCTTTCGCGCTCACGTCGTCCTTTCTGGGGCCGTTTGGGTCCATCGACATGGTGTACGTCGCGCCGCCACCGGTATTGCAGCGGCTGCTGTCATCGCTCATGGAGCACTCGCGGTCACCACTGACGGACAATGGGACGGCGCAAGAAGCCTACTACAACATTACGCCGCTTGCAATTTCCCGTCCGGTGCCAGCGACCTGGCTGCGAGCACCCTTCGACACGTACGGCAGCACCGTCCTCTGCGGCGAAATCTTGAGCGGACACAGTGTCGCCACTGGCATTGACAATATTGTGTCGTACGACGCTGTGTGCGTTTCCACGTTGGACGTGATTGCCAAGCTGCAGCCCACGAGACAACAGTACATCATTAGCGCCCTTCTCGCCGGTCTCGAGCGCGGTGGCAATAACGTCACAACGGTCTGTAACCATGAGCCGAGTTATCTATTAGCCTGTCAAGCGTATCTCAACGCCACGCTATCGTACATTAGCGCCTTCATGAGCGTCCCGACGACCTTATCGCAGGACGTTGCCAACGCGCATGCGCTCGTCCGCTCGCTCAACATCTCGCTCTTGTCTTACTCCAAACGCAATGCGACAGCGACGATGTATGTGCAGTCCATCAACCTTCTGGACCCGGCCGAAGACAATTTTCGTTTCTTTGCGTGGCTCTTTCTCTACGATTGGGTCGTCGGCCTCCGCGAAGTCGTCTCGTTTCAGGGCGACCTCAGTACCCTAACCCTTATCACCGACATTGAAGTGCCGCTGTCGCAGCCGACTCAGGCGTGGGAGATGCCAAGAAACATTGCCCGCTACCTCCGAGCCGGCGTCATGTACGTCACGGGTGTCATGATGGCGGTGGCTAGTCTCACGGCGGTATATATGGTGGCGAGTCGCAGCCACTTTGAGGGGTTGAATATGCTCGAGCTCGGTCGCGTCGGCGGCATTGTCTGGGTCGGTCGGCCATTTCTGTTTCTGCGGAGTATGACCGCCCTCTGTGTACTGTCGACCGCCTCGATCGAGTTGCAGTATTCAGGTTACATTAGCTCATTTGTAGCGGTGCGCGATCCATGGTACAAGACGCTCCTGGCCGTGAACGAGGTCACGTGGCTCATTACGATCGTCAACGACATTCTGCTTGTGATTACGGGCGACTATGCGGCTTACTATGCGATTCTCAACGGGTTCTTGGTCTATTTGATTGCTGCAGGGTTCACACTCTTGGCGCCCGTGACACCGCGCTTGTCGATCAATCTGCAGTGCTATCTCGCTCAAGTCGATGGAATGGCCATCTGCGACGCAGGAGCGATTGAGATTGGCCGCCGTGATCGTCTCCTTTTGCTCGTGACGTTGGTTTTGGTCTCGCATGGCGTGTGCTATCTCGTGGTCACACAATGTGTCCGCGCCCCACCCACAAGCGCCGTCGCTTCGCTGTTTCTGACGTCGGGCGCCAAGTATCAATTTTGCACCTCGTCTTGGATTGTACATAATGTCTACCATCTGGACCGCGCGTCGGCGGCACTTGTCGGGCTCTTGACGCTGCGATTTCAATCGAGAATGGTCACGCTCGACATCAAGACGTGGCGGGCATATGCCCTTCCGATCGACACAGACGCACCCGTCGCACTGGCCGCCGGAGTGCCCCTTCTCGACTAAACTAAAAGGTAAAAAAATGTGGTATACGACTCAAAACGCCTTTTTGTGGTATTATGCCTGTGTGCGCAAGCGAGTGAAATGAAATCGCTACATTTGAATGCATTTAGTTGAAAATACTGTGGGACAAAGAGAGCTCTATACAGATTGAAGGGACGCGGCAGTGGTCGCAGCATGATGCGCCGTCGCGTTCACCACGAGCTTGTGCACGGCCTCGTGCATGTTCAACGTCAAAGGGTCGCCGTGGACGACCTTGATGGTGGAAAGGACCACTTGGGCCAGGTTGCCCAAGTGGTGGGTCGCGTCCGGGTTGTGTGCTTTTTCATACTCGATGGCGGCCGCGACCGTGCGCTCTTGGACGTCCGAGAGGTGCAAGAAATCGTCTCGGATGATGCTTCGCGCCAACTCGTACGACAAATTGGAGGAAATAGCCGGCGAGATCGAGGCTATAGTCCTAATATTGATGTTGTAATTGGCACGGTGGACAAGACGCAGCCCTACCGAAAGTCTTGGACGGCAAACGCATAGAGCTGGCACGACTTTGTGAGCACAGTGAGCGTCGACTCGGTACGGTAATGCTCGTCAGGGCGGGCCAAGAGCGCATAGGCTTCGACGACAGCGCTCTCCCTGCAATTAAAAAATCAGACTATCAGCCTAGCATACACTGGAAAACGAGCAAAAATGGTGTACCCGAGGACGCGCGCGTTGCGGTTGTCCTTGTCGAGCTGCTCGCACTCGCCGTCCAGAATAAAGTACATTTCCGTGCCGGGGCTGCCGCTATGACAGACGCGTTCGCTTCGAAGCACGTACTGCGGCTTGAGCAGGAACATGGCGTAGCTTACAAACCCTAGCCCGCGTTGAGAACTGGTGCTATCTTGGCTGTGTCGTACCTTTGTAGCGCTTCTCCATACTGGCAATGATGCCAATTGTCATGATGGAGCTGGACGAGACGAGGCGGGCGACATCAAAGCGGAGGCTGGGTCGCAGCTGCCCAAAGATCTAGTCCTCGACCATGAGCCCACGCGGGGATAAAAAGACGCAACTTTTTCTTCTGGAAAGAGGCACACGGTCGAGAGCAGGTAATCGTAGTGCCGCTTGACATTGGTGCTCAAGCGTACCGACATGGACGCGTCCCGTACATAGTCCTATGGGTGGTATCCTAAATATGTACAACATTAACAAATTGTAGTACCTTCATGGCGTTGAGGCGGGAGCTGTACTCGCGCGCGCTCGGGTCGTAGTTGTAGATGACTTCGATGATGCCACTCACGACGTAGGCAAACACAGTCGAGTTGACGAGGAGGCAAATAATGGCAAAGAGGATCTCAGCAACCGAAAATCGATAGGGCCGAATATCGCCATAGCTAGCACCATGTACAGAATGTCCTTTGGCCATGCAATCATGTACCCCACTGTGGCCATGGTGGTGAAGGCCCAGTAGATGGACGCAAGGTACCGATCGACTATCGAGACACGGTTCGAGCACAAGCCCGGGTCGGCGTCTTGGGGAAAAAAATATTCCGTGCACCACGTGCGGAGTCTACAATACACAAATTTCCAAATGGTCTATAATATCGCAAAAAACGCACCCGAGATCTTCCTCTTGGAGCATGATGAAGTGAAACATGCACCCGTTCCAGTGGCCAAAGAGCACCATGATCATGACGAGCTTCAAGAGACGCTCCGTCGACGGGCTCAGCTACACGCACAAGGCGGCGCTCAACGCTTTCCTTTTTGAATAAAACGCACCTGGATCGAGTCGCGGAGGCGTTTAAACACCTTGCCGATCTTGAGGAGTCGAATGAGCTTGAAGATGCGCGCGATACGAAAAACGCGCAAAATCTTGGTCGACGCGAGTACTTGGCTCGAGTTGCGCTCCGTGATAAAGTAGCTATACAGTGCACACAATAAGACGCGGGCATTTCGGGTCGAACGCAGGACCTGCCAATCGTATCGATGGGCACCGTCGAGACAAAGTCGACGAGGAACCAGCCGCGGAGGTACGCGTACATGATGGTATTCCCATTCACGACCAGTTGACGCTCCATCGTGTAATACGCTGTCCGAAACGAAATGCCAATGTCCACAAAGAAAAGCGCGTCGACAAACAGGTCAAACATCAGCTCCGAGCCCGAGGGATCCGAGTTAAACCTATAAAACGCGTTTTTTTCTCACACCCAACTACACAGCTGAGTATACCCAATGCGATACGGGACCATGATGGTAGAGTACATGATGGCCGTGGCGACCGAGAGTTGCCAGTTGACAAGGAAAAGATCTTGCGGATGGAACACCCAGTGCTGGTGCGCCATCTAGAAACACCGCACTCGTGAAACTAGGGGTAGGGTCCCGCCCACCTTGCGCTCGTTGGGGACAGACCGGACGAGCGGCTGGACACGCAGCACGGCAGCATCGAGCTGTTTTGTGCTCGAGATGGTTTCAATTTCGTCATCTTCCGAAGACGACGAGAGATCGTAGGTCCCGAGGTCCTCCATCAGCGGTTGGTCCTTAGCCTCAAAGCTCGCTCGGCGCGCCACCGCTGGTTGTAGATACATACCAGGTTTGCGAGTGAGCGGCAGTACGCGCTACATATCAAATTGCTAGCGTCGAGAGATACACCCGTGAACCTACCCCCGACAAGGAGAACCGGCGGTGCCGGAGCCCGTTGGTGGACGACGGCTTGGTACCGATGTTGAACTCTTCGAGCGGTCCGCGCTTAGTCATATACCGCACTTTTTGGTCTCCCGTGTGCTCGAAATGGGCAAGAATCTCGGGCCATGTCTCCCCTAAATGCATATATGTGGACACATTGTCGTATGCACAACGAATATACCAATGTGCGAGATGACTTGACGCGATAGAAATGTGAGTTCGCAGTACGTCTTGGAGATGGCCGAGCAAATGCGAACACCGCGGCCGTAGCGCGGGTGGTACAGCTCGATTTCACCAAAGTGCATGCCTGGCGAGAGCGGAAGAAGCTGCGTCTCGCCCATCTGGCCCATGTACGCCTTGACGAGCACCGCGGTACCTACGCATTATTGTCTAATTCCTTGGCTAGACATACTCAGAGGACAACCTTTCATAAGAAAGAAGACGTGGGCGGCAATCTCGTGCTGGGTGTAAATGCCTTCGTCTTTCACGACAAAGAACGGGTGCATCGCGACCGCCATGTCGCTCACGAGCCCCTCGTGGAATTCAGAGAGAAAGTCGATGCGCGCAATGAATTTGCGCAGTACGTGGTGCAGCTAGTCGGGACAATATTGTCAATCTCGCCGTATGCATACTTATCGTGTTACCACTTCGTGCCGCAGGACGCTCGGCAGATTCTTGAGAATCGTATCTTCGTCAAACACTGAGCGTTGGCGGTAAAAGTACTCGAAGTGATCCAGGATGCGCTTGCCTAGAGCCACACGTTGAAGAAGACTAATGAGAATCCCGAAAAAGGAGATATAGACCGATGGACGTGGGAATGCTGCGAGCAATGATGTACTCCTTCACGGACGTCATGCGCTCCGACTGCATGCGGCTGCTCGCATCGAGGTTGTCGACGAGCGCCGTGATGTTGCCGATCACGTAACCAAACATAACGACGCCAATGACCATGACGAACATGGCAATCACGATCTCGACTTTGGTCTTCGGGTCAATGTCGCCATAGCCCACCGTGGTCTAGCAATATATATTGGTAAACGCTAGATGCAATATGCGTACCATGGTCACAATAGCCCAGTAGAGCGACGCGAGATACTGCAAATTTTGCTTGTGGGCGTGGTTGTCGGCCATGTAGCCGGCCGCCGACGCCCACGAATACCTATACGATCGTCGTCAGCTTCGCAAGTTGATGGAGTGATAAGGTCGACGTTGAGGTTGTTGCTGCGTAAAACCACACGCACGCGACGAGGTGCGCGAGGAAGAAGACGAAAAAGAGAATCTTGAGCAGCGACAGGAGGCTTTGGTTGACAAATACCTACCGCAGCACATATTGTGTATCGCCAGGGACGGCGCCACCGACCTCTTCTTCCCATTTGGCGATCATGACACCAATTTTCCGAATGCGAGCGAGCTTGAGCAGCCGCACGAGCTTGGCACCGCGAAAGATGCGCGTCGTCATGAGCGCGGACGAGTTGTGGTTCGGGTACATCCACGAGACGACCGTCGATATCGGCACGGTTGACACAAAGTCGATGAGGAACCAGCCCTTGAGGTACGCGAGCGCGATGTGCTGCTTGTTGTAGTACACGTGGCCCGTGCTCGGGTTCTCAATCCCGGTGCGAAACGAGCACATAATGTCGACGAAGAACGCGCAGTCGATCACAGTCTCGACGACCAAGAAGAGGCCGGTGGCGTCGATCGAGAAACTCACGCGGTACGGCACGACGGCCGTCGTGTACAAGACGCAGCACGCGAGCGCGAGGTCCCACTTGACCTTGAGGTCGCTCTCCGGGTCAAACATGAGCGGCGGCACGGCCGCGCGCCGGTACCGCGTCGTGGGCTTGGGCGGCACGAGCACGCTGAGGTTGTCGCGCACCTTGGCCCAGAGCTGGCGCGCGCGCTCGGGGCCCGTAAGGACCTTGGCCGTGCTGTTGCGGCGTGACGGTAGCGACGACTTGTGGCGAATGCGCTGCAACACCGACTCGGCGGACGAGAAGCGACGTGAGCCCGTGTCCATGGCTTTTCACGAGTGGAAGATCCAAGCGTTTCGAGGATCGAGACGGTTTAGACAGGCCGTCGCCAAAGATTTCCTTGGGAGATGCGCCAGCGATACCGGCGCCGAGCTCACAGAAGGACAAGGATCGACAAACAAGGCGTTAGTTGGTGCTAAAGTCCATGCCGGTGCTACCCTCCTACCGATCGCCGGAGCGAGTAGAGACAGCGAAACGGTAGCGAGAAGCGGTATACCAAGTTAGCAAATTCCCCATCTGCGTACGCTTGGGCTGAAATGAACACGCCACAGCATTCGCCAAACAGCTAGTTTTATGTTAACGTGACATACCACGCCGGTCGAGTACTGCATGGTTCGTGGACTGGCGTCACGACAAGGCAAATCGAATCTGTTGAGTCCGCGTCGGTGCTGGAGTCGTCACGTGCTTCGGCCGTGGCCATGGCCTCGGTCGCCATGCTTGCCCAGTCAATGCGCAAGCAGCGCAGCCCAAGAAGGATCGTTTTCAAGGTCACTGCAATTGTCGACGCAACCCAAACGCCCGGGAGTCCAAGGTCGAGGTGGAGGCCGCAGTAGTACGCCAGCGGCAGCTCGACGCCCCAGAGCCCGCCGATCGTCACGATTGTCACGAAGCGCATTTGGCACAGACCTTCGAGGGTCGTGACCAAGGCGACTTCGAGGCTACGCAAGCCACACGCGAGCACGAGCAGCGGTAGAACGTCCGTGTACATGATGAGAAGCGACGTCTCGGGTGTAAAGAGGCCGACGATCCGCGCTGGGGAGAGCCAAAGGCCCAAGCAGACCAGAGCACCCGTTAGCAGTAACACGGCGACGCCGCGCCTTGCACAGGCCCGGGCAGCCTCGGGTCGGCCACCACCGAGATGCGTCGCAAGGCCAACTTCCGAGGCGAGCCCGATACCATAGTAAATCGCATCCACGACCGTCCAGACGTTGCTCAAAATCGCATGGGCCGCCATCGCCTCGGTGCTGATTCTTGCTACCACGAGCGAGAGCGCGGCCGTCGCGAGCAAGTCACAGCCGTCGTTGAGACCGAGCGGGAGTGCGATTTGAAGAAAAGTTGTCCACCGTTGCCGCGTCAGCTCCGAGATCTTCCAGCCGCCCCACGCATCGCGGTGGAGCTTTTTGTACTCAAATGCGTAGAGGTACAGCGCGATCGGCTGGAGCCACGCCACGAGAACCGTCGCGAGTGGCGATCCATCAAAGCCAAGCTGGGCGACTTCAATAAGAACGTAGTTGGCGCCAATGTCGAGGCCGACCGCGACGACTGCATTTAGAGTAGTCGGCGCGACGACGCCCATGGCTTGGAGGTACTGGCGCAAGCAGACGTACGCGAGAAGCGGCCACATGCTCGGGGACAAGAGCGCGCCAAACCGGGCGCCCAGCGCCACAATCGCGCTATCATCCGATGCAACGCGCAGCATATCGTGGAGGAAGAGGCAGTAGATCGTCGTGGGAACCGCGAGGAGGGTGACGAGGACCAGCGCCATTTGAAGCCAAATGCCCATGAGGATGCCGTTTTTGGCGCCGTACGCTTGGCCGCAGAGCTACAGGTAGAGGAGGTGACGGGATGCAGAGGCATTTTTTGTACCACGACGAGGGCGTTGGCAAGGCCCCACACGGTGTAGAGAGGGAAGTCGATCCAGAGCATCGCGAGCGACGCGCCGGCGAGCTCGTTGGTACCAATGTGCCCCACAAAGGCGGCGTCAATGACGAGGAGGGAGAACCGAGCGACGTTGCTGAGCATGAGCTGGAGCGCCAGGCACACAAAGGGCCACAGCTCGGCGCGCGGCTCGTCGGTCTCACCCATGAGCAAGAAGAATCAAAGGAAGAATGGCGTCGCTCCATCGCATGCAAATCGTGGCAACGCAGGATATTGCTGGGGGTTGTGAGCTGGACACTATGCTATCGCTGGTGGATCTTTTCAAATTCTGTTGCACAGCGCAGTCTTTATAATGGGTGCAGCATCTTGACCGTGATGGTCCTTGTGAGACCTTGGGAATGATGTCGGCAGCAAAATGACAATACAACGTTGCTCTTGCAAGTAGTACCAAAGAGCGTTGGGGGGTCAAGGACCCTCGATGGTTTTGAGCAGGGGAATAACTAGTTATTTCCTTGGTTTTGAGCCACTTGATCGTTTGAGCCACTTGATAGATATATTTTTCTGCAGCAAAGGATATTACACGTAGCAACAACCGAATCCAAAAGGTATAGATGTTAGTTCCACTGGTCATTTTGGGAATCAACTGACGCAGCATAACGCAGTTGGACCGGTGTACTAGTATGTAACGAACGACCTTCCAGGCTTAGAGGAACGTTGCATACCACGAGTCATTTGACTTGTCGTCGTCCCACTCGTTCTCGCTGCTATTATTGGGGGTGGCGTCGGGCAGTGAAAGGACGTGGATCGAGCCGCTCTTGCGTTCCAGCACGAATACATCGTTGAGCTCAGTGCTCGATTGTGTGACCTCGGCCGTCACCATGGCGTCCGCGACGGTCGCCGCCCAGTCGATGCGAAGAAAGCACACGCCGAGGATGAGGGCTTTTGCTGCGATCGCAAGCGCCATTGCAGCCCAGACGCCAAAGAGTCCATAGTCTTGAACCTGCCCGAGGTAGTACGCAAGCGGCAACTGCACGCCCCAGAGTCCGATGACAGTCACCGTCGTCACAAGCCGCATTTGACGGTGGCCCATGCCTTCGAGCGACGTGGCCACGCCGATCTCGATGGCGTCAACGACCAGCGTGACCATGTACATCGGCAGCACGGTCTCGTAGATCGCGAGCAGTTTTTGGCTCGGAGTAAAGATGCCAACGACGGCCGCGGGCGTTGACCAAAGCACGAGACACACGAGCAGTGCCACCACCAAGAGGACGCCAAAGCCAAACATTGCGCTCGTACGGGCGGCTCTCGGGCGGCCGCCGCCCAGATGCGCTGCGAGACCCACTTCTGCCGCGACGGCGACACCACGAAAAATGGCATCGACGACCATCCAAACGTTGGCCAAAATGGCTTGCGTCGCGATTGTGTCGGGGCCGAGCTTGGCCACAATGAGAGAGAGAGCGGCCGTGACGAGCGTATCCCAGCCGCTGTTGAGGCCGAGCGGAAGGGCCATGCGAAGAAACGTCTGCCATCGTACCCACGTGAGCTCCGAGAACGCCCAGCCGCCCCATGACGCTTTGTGGTACGCTTTGTAGACACAGCAGTAGCCAAAGAGCGCGATCGGCTGGAACCAGGACACAAAAACAGTGGCCAGAGGTGACCCGTCAAAGCCGAGGTCGGCACCGTAAATCAAGAGGTAGTTGGCGCCAATATCAAGGCCGATCGAGACGACGCCGTTGATAGTCGTGGGTGTGACGATGGCCATGGCTTGGAGGTACTTGCGCAAACAGACGTACACGAGCTGCGGCCACACGCTCGGCGACAAGAGCGCGCCAAACCGTGCACCCAGCGCCACCACAGTACTGTCATCCGAGGCAAACCGGAGAAAGACGTCGACAAAGCCATAGTAGATCGTCGTCGGAATCGCGCAGACCGTGACAAGCACGAGCGCCATTTGCAGCCAAATGCCCATAAGAACGTAGTTTTTGGCGCCGTACGCTTGTCCGCAGAGCTACAGAGATGCACGCATCAGCATCGCATTGGAAGCACATGGACGAGTACCGCAGTGAGGGCCGACGCCATGCCCCAGAAGGTGCAGAGCGGCAACTCGACCCAAATGGTCGCGAGGGAAGCACCCGCAAACTCGTCCGTGCCAATGTGACCGACAAACGCCGCGTCGATCACGTAGAGGGCAAAGCGTGCAACACCTTCGATCGCCAGCTGCAGCGCCAGCCAGAGGAACGGCCAGAGCTCCACGCGCACGCAAAAGTTGTCGTCAGGTCTCATGGAAAACAAATAATGACGAGGTGCCTTCACGGTACGAAGAAAGTGTCGAGAATATGCTGTTTGCGTGTGGTTGCGAGGCTGCTGGATTTTTGGTGCACTGACAAATACGTGGTTGCTAGCATCGTGTGGACAGTGCTCGACCGAAAGTATCACAAAAGATCCAGTTGTAACTCAGGTGAAAGTTGCATACTGCTTCATGGTACTCGACCGCACGCTAGCCGCATCGCCTCCGCATCACCAGTACTGTGCTTCGCAAAGACGGGATGAAAAGGCTACATATGTGGGTCGTCTCGGCATCGCATTGGACTGTCGAGTCGGCGTTCAGAAAATTGTTGTCCAAACGCTTCTGCCAACTGCAGCGTTTGCCAAGCCCTACCCCTTGCACGTTACCAAACTATGAGCCCGCGAGCGATTGGAATAAGAGAACAATATACTTGTGCTAGTACACTATATATATGAAGGTGTTCCGCGTTATCTTCATGATCACACGAAGACTTTGCAAACGTAGCGCTACGCCTGAATGAATGCGTGGGAGTTGGCACCAGCACTTGGTCGTTGAGAGCACACCCTATATCGTTGGCTGCGTCTTCATTCCGCAGAAAACTCTCAGAGTACCACCAGCATCATGCGCATCAGCCCCATCTTTGCCGCGGCAAGCCCCAACTCCAACAGAGCCCAAGTGCAACTACCCCAGTACCATGTTCATGGTTGCAGCGCGTGCTGACATGGCGCTTGTTCTTAAATGTGGCATGTGCCGCACAAAAGAACCACCATGCCACATTTAATACGTGGCCTGTCCCTTGAAGATACCGGCATGAGCAACGAGGCCGACGTCTGGTCGCATGGCGGTAGCATCCTGCGTCCGGGTCGTAGCCCATGCGCAGCTGCCTGTAGGTGAGGATCAAGATGATGAGGACGAGGCAGCCGACGACGGCGAGGTGCAGAACGACGACGACGACGGTGGCTCCAACCTCTTTGACGCGTTCGAAGCCTTCCATCTCCAAGCCTCCAAGCGCATCGCCGTCTTGCTGCAGCTGAGCAACGACCAGGTCAGCTCCTTCTACGTATGACCGTAGCGCGTCTGCACATTGCTGCTAGATCCACGCGGTGAGCGACGCTGCCCACCCGACGCCCTGCCTCGTACGACACGCCGGACGAATGGCTGCGTTCATGCACCTTCTTGTACGTAGACCAACGCCGACGACGACTGCTACCGACACTGGTCTGAAGGTGCGCCTTATCTGCGCGTCACGGGTCGTGGTACGTCCCGTCTTTCCTCCCATCGACAGCTCATGCGGGACAAGGCCTGTTGCACCCGCCGCTGGTGGGCGAGGAGCTACCGCAGTGCGTACCGCCTTTGGCCGTTGCCAAGAAGACGCATCCGCCGCCCCGAGGTGCCATCCTTCTGCATCACAAGACGCTATACTCTGACGTCATGCAACTGCATTAGCCATCTGCTTGGAAATTACTGGCACCGCGGTACTGCTTGCCCCCAACCAAAGCTTTAGTCGCATCAACGACGAGGAAGAAGAAGAAGTGCTTGCAAGGTAGTACGCATATCCCGGTGCGCGGGACCCACGATGATGATAGCGATGGTATTCTGGACGAACCGCTCTATGTGCATCAACTACCCCATACGAACGAGGCCAGCGACATCTTTACCGATCACGTTCGTCGTCTTGTGAGCGTGGACGGCGCTCAGCCAGCGCGTAGGCGTCACCACGCGCATCGCTCGTCCAGCAAATGCACGATGCATTCTTAGAGCGTCTTTGGCTCCAGACGGCCATCCAAGTACGTATTGCGTCTCTGGACTACTTAGCTAGCGAATGCATATCTGTAGTGTGACCCAATTTTGCGCCAAGTGCTCCAGCCACTCGGCGAACCCGCCCTGCCGCCGCCACCGAGCCCGACGCCGAGCCCGACGCCGAGCCCGACGCCGATGAGTGATGACGTGGACGACCACGAAGCGTTTGATCTGCACGGCAATGTGCTCACGTCCGTGACGTGTCACTTGCCGTCGACGCCGCGCTTTGAGATGCGACGGCACTACTCGCCGTCACGACCGCACGTGTTAGCCTAATGGTTGAGCAAAGAACGAGCCAGTCACGTGCCTGTAGGACAATGCCACACTTTGAGCCTGTGCTCACGACAAGGCAAGCGATCCCGTACCGGATCAAACTGCGGTCCAAAGCCTGGTATCCCACATCTATCTGATGATCTATCTAGTATCGATCTATCGGACGCTAAGGACAAGATAGGCATGCGAGTCTTGTGAAGCCGGTAGCAAGTCGCAAAAAACCACCACGGCCCAACCAATCGTCGAGCGCGTTGACGATACTTCCCAAGATCCCCCCGCGGAGCTAATGCCCTGGATAGCTCCAATCGAAACGTAAACTCTCCGACTCAGTACGACGAGAGCTATCTTTCAGTACGACTTATCTTAGCTGCTTCTATATAAGAATATCACCATAGTCGAAATTCTGATGCGACTCGGGACTTCCCGCCATTCCGCAAGATCGCGTCCGTGGCGCCGAGTTCAAACACATATTCCATCATGCACCAATCAACAAGTCGCATGCCAAAATGTTTCAGCCAATCAAAACGTTTCTTGCTCGTTGTGCGAAAGTGCACTTGGCTCCATTTTGCGACTTGGTGCGATGGCCGACCACCTCTTCGTCTTTGCCAACAACAAGGCCGGCATGGACGGCGTCGACCGCTCCAAGGTCAACGAGACCATCTACGAGCTCTCCAAGGACTCGGCCTTTTTCAAAAACTCGCTGGCGAAGGACGCCAAGACCGACGAGCGCATCGCCGAGCTCCGCCGTCGCCTCGATACCAAGCGCCGGCACGACCTCCACGAGACAGTTGACGCACTCGTCCTCGAGCTCGAGGCCAAGCGGTGTCTACGCCGCGTCCACGTTGTTGTCGACATGGACATGTTCTTTGCTGCTGTTGAGATGCGCGATCGGCCCGAGCTCGCGACTGTCCCGATGGCCGTCGGCGGCATGGGCATGATCAGCACGGCCAACTACGAAGCGCGCAAGTTTGGCGTCCGCGCTGCGATGCCAGGTTTCATTGGCAAGAAGCTCTGCCCGGCCCTTGTATTTGTCCCTCCGGATATGGCCAAGTACGCCGCCGTCGCCGACGTCACACGGCGCATCTTTGCCGAGTACGATCCGCAGTTTGCGGCCGCAAGCATGGACGAAGCGTATTTGGACATCACCGACGTGTGCTTAGCCCGCGGTACTACGATCTTAGTGGGCGCGAGAGACCAGTGGTGCGAGTAGGCGCCACGGACACGGCGAGTATGGAGGCGACGGCCGCGGCCGTCACGGCCGAGTTGCGGCAGCGCATATTCGATGCGACCAAGCTCACTGCGAGCGCCGGCATTTCTACCAACGCCAAGCTGGCCAAGGTATTCGTCTTCATTGATGTGATAGACAATTTTGTCGTTGGTGTAGGTCTGCTCCGACATGAACAAGCCCAACGGACAGTACTTGCTACCGTTCACACGCGACGCGCTGGTGAAGTTCATCGAGAATCTCCCGATCCGCAAGCTCGGCGGCATTGGCAAGGTACGTGGCGCTATGTCACATTGGCGGTGGCCAACGCAGGCGGTAGGTGCGGGAGAAGGTGCTGGCCGCGCTCGGGATTCACACGGGCCTCGACCTCTTCAACGCGCGCTACGACTTGTTTCATAGTCACTCGGAGATTACAGCGCGATGGCTCCTGGAGATTTCCATGGGTGTCTACGAAGGCACGGGCGGCGACGAACGCAAGAGCGTCAGGTACGACTACGTCGCTACTGGGGGTGCTACATCAACCCTAGTCGCGAGTCGACGTTTGCAGCCACGGGTTCTTTATTGGCGCTCAAAAGTATTTGCAAGGACATTGTCCAGCACGTCAGAGCCGACCTTCTTAGCGTACGTAGGCATGTACTACATGTCGTTGACAATCAAGTAGGAGCGCGTGACGGGGCTCTGTGTGACGCTCAAGCTCAAGACTGAGGCCTTCCACGTCCGGACGCGTGCGTTCACGAGCAAGGCGAGCGTCGAGCCAACGCTGCTCGACCTCGCGTACATGCTCCTCGAGCGCGAAGTGCGGCACGACCAAAAGACGATCAAGCCACCGCCGCGCTACCGGCTCATGGGCGTTCGCATCTCCAAGCTCCAGGAGCGGGATGCGAGCTGCGAGGTCGCTGCGACGAGCCAGCTGCGGCTCGAGGAAACCTTGTTTGCGCCCGCCCCAGCAGCAAAGTGCCCCGTGTGTGCGTCCAGCGTGCCACGCGCGCAGCTCCAGCGACACATTCAAGAGTGTCTTGGTGACGACGACGCGTGTCCGAGGTCGTCGGATACAATATTGTCATCGCCTGTCAAAAGGAAAAGGTCTTTTTTTCAGGAGACGCCACCAACACCGTCCCGACGCCCTGACCGCAGCGAGTCAACTGCGTCCGATGCACTGACGACGCATGTTGAGGCAGCGAGCACGGCCGGTAGCAGCACCAAAATGGCTCCCGACGAGACGTTGACAGCGTGTCCGATCTGCGGACAGTCGTTCGAGTCGCAGAGCCCAGCGTGGATGAACCGGCACATTGAAGCCTGTCTCGGCGACACGACCGGAACGTCCGATGAAAGAACTAGTACCGGTACACCGTCGTGTCCAGTGTGCAGTGCGCCGTTGGACATGGCGAGTACCCAGGCCGTGAACGACCACTTGGACGCGTGCTTGGCCCACGTGGCACGCCCCAAGCGCCGCAAACCCAAAAGTATCAAGACCTTCTTTCAGCAGCCGTAAATTATTCGCGATAAGAACACGTGGCTACCAGATACACGGGCAGGATGCCCCATGAGCAACCAAGCCGTGGCTGCATGTCCGCCTCGGTCTGCTCGCCAGTGCGAAGCAGAGCTGGTGCGTGGCCATGAGCCGCTACTTGGTCCTGCACTGGCTTTTCTAACATAATAGTTATTGGCAGTGTTGACGGGCGCGATTATGGTCGGCCGACGTCGGGTAAGCTCGGTGCTGGATCTCGATTGCGAAAGACCAACACTGCGTGAACTTCAACTTGATGCGACCCGAAGACTTTGAATTATGTGGCTGTGGGAGAGACGATTCACTGTGTATACCAAGCCTCTGTCAATGGTCGTGTGCTAACTCACGCACTCGACTGAATGAATCGAGATGCCCATCAACAGCGTCGGGCAAGTGCACTCTCATTCTGCAGCAGGAAATTTGCAGAAATTCAAAAATAAAAAATGCGATGCTCTTGGCTTTCGCCAGGCTTGCACAAAGGACAGCCCTCGGGCGTTGAAGGTACGACTGGTCGTGTGGACGCCATCGACTTCGGCAAGAGCAAGTATGATCATGATGATGCAAGCGTGGACGCCCCAAATCATCGCAGTGTTGCTCGTGTCCCAGCCCCATACAAACACCAAGATGTACACCATTACCGGAGTGAGTATACAAACGCCAAGTCGATTTGGAAGCCATCTCGCCGGTTCGACGGCTGGAAAATAAAATGCGCGTCTCGGCCCGCGACATTGCATTATACTCGACAATTGTATACTTTGCTTACCGCCACGAATATAAATCGAACGATTATTTTAAAAGAAATGTATTCTTATAAAAATATGCCATGGCGTGCCCAACCGCCGGACCGCCTCATACAATTGCAACATTTATTTCAAGCTCGATGTTTGTATGGAAACGCGTGAAATCGATTGTATGATGAGCTTGGTCGCTTGGAATTACAAACAGGTGGCGGTGGCGCCATGTCGCAGTCCCGCGCTGGCCATCGCCAAGTCCATCATTCCGAGATTCGCTACCTTCTCAACATGGGCTGCGCTCCGTCCAAGATTGAGGCGCAGGTCGACATGCCACGCGCCAAGGACGAGGTCTCGACGGCCACGACGGCGACGACGACCAAGCAGACCAAGCTCGACGGAACGCCATCGGGGTCGCCGGCCGTCTCGCTGCGCTCGGCCCTCTCTGCCTCGATCCTCGGGACGCCGCCGGGCTCGCCCATCGACGCCATCGACCTTTTCAATCCGTCGGCAATCGGCGCGGTGCTCAGCGACCCGCGCCTCGTGCGCCTTGTGACGCAGTACCAGCACGGCGTTGAGGCCACCTTGCACGAGATTGTGCTGCAGTGGAAGCGCCTTTCCGACGAGCAGGCCAAGGCCAAGTACATTTTGCGGTCGTTTGACGTGCCCAACTATGGCCTCGCGCGCGTGCGCATGCTGTACCACCACCGGCGCTATGTCTTCACGCCCGAGCTCGTGACGCTTCTGGCGTCGTATGGCGGCGCCGCGATCCTCGAATACCTCCACTCGAAAGAGCCGAACGAGACCGCCATCTTCTTTACAAGCGCGACCATGGACGCGGCCGCGCAGAGCGGCAAGCTCGGGCTGGTGGAGTTTCTGCACTCGCACCGGACCGAGGGCTGCACCCACCGCGCAATGGACTATGCGGCCATGGGCGGCCACAAGGCGATCGTCGAGTTCCTCCATGAGCACCGCTCGGAAGGCTGCAGCGTCGAGGCCATGAACGGCGCGGCGCGCAAGGGCAACCTCGAGATTGTGCGCTTCCTCCACGAGCACCGGAACGAAGGCTGCGACCATTCGGCGGTCGACAGCGCGGCGCTGCAAGGTCACTTGGAGGTCGTCAAGTTCTTTTGCGAGCACCGCCGCAGTGACATTGCGAGCGACAGCGCGCTGGCGGCCGCGATCGAGAAGGGCCATGTGGCCATCGTCGAGCTCCTCCTTGAGACGTTCCCATTGGAAGGCAACACGCTCAAGATGCTCTGCGACGCGGCCCGGCGCGGCCATCTCCCGATCATCAAGTACCTCTACAAGCAGCGCGCCGAAGCGACGCGGTATACCTCGCAAGCCATCTTCTACGCCAACCAGAAGGGCCACACGGGCCTTGTCGCGTACCTCGAAGCCGAGCAGCGCCACCTCGTGAGCCAGCTCGCTTAGCTTCGACTATTTAACCTCTTTACTATTTATTCTTTTGACGCTCAATATTGCTCGGTCGCAAGCAAGAGCGGGTTGTCGTGCTGCGTGGGCTTGAAGTCGTAGTAGATCAAACACACCTACGGTCGTTGGGACCAGCAGGCAAGAGCGGAGGACGTACGACTTCCTTCTCGAACGCCGGCGCGCCGTCAATGCCATACTCGTGGAGCGTCAGCATCTCGTCCGTGAGCTCGTTCGCCTCGGCAAAGTGGTCCTTGCAGATCTTGAGGCTCGTGATGGGCCCATGGCGCTTCTCAATCTCGTTCTACCGCAATCAAGAGCGCAATGGCGAGCGCATGTCTACCTTGACGGCGAAGAGCCGCGTCGACGTCTTGACCTTCCACTTGAAGTTGAGGTAGCTCCAATTGAGCAGCTAGGACATGGCGAGAGCGTGCATAGGAAGGCGATGAAGCTGAGCGTACCCGCATGTCGAGCGTCACGAGCTCGACCGTCTCCTCGGGGATCGCGAGCGGTACGTACTCGGCGTCCGGCTAGCCCATGAGGAGGATGGCTCCAGCGCATGAGGTAGATGGACGTACGTGCGCTTCCGGCGTACCGTCTTCGCTGCTCGCCGCCGCATGCTTCTTGGCCTTCTTCTTGGGCATCGGCCAAAACAGATTTGCAACCGCCACGCGCTCATTGGTTGAAAATGGGGTCCATTCCGTGTTTGGATTGGCTGCAAGGTACCGTAGTGTACTCTAGTACATGTACGGGGACATGTACCAGAGTACAGCTCAGGCCCCATCAAGGCAATCCCAGGACTGGGATGACGACCACGTACACGAGGACACTGTGTATTTTGTACATGCTGCATACAGGGTCTTAAGAGCGACTCGCTGTACGCTGTCTTGAGCGTAGCGTTGATCGTAATCAAGGGTACATATGATCGTAATGTCCATCATGCAGGCTATTTTTGCTTCCAAGGTGACCAACGGTGAAGACAGCATGGCATGGGAAGCGCGCTGCAACCAGCAAGGCTACACATACTATGTCGACACAGAGACAGGTACATGAGCTTATGCTAGTAGCAATATTGCCCATGTTGCTAACACACTTGCGTGTAGGAGTGATGCAGTGGGCCCCGCCCCCCGCGCCCCCCCTCGCGACCGAGACCATTGAGATTGTGGAAGACGATGCGCCATGCGCCAGCGACTCGAGTCGCAGCGAAGCAGACAACACCAACGACGACGACGAGGATGATGAGGATGATGATCAGTGTGAGACGCTTCTGAACTCGCGGGACCTTGACCAGACACTGGGCTTGCCCCGCCTTGTGCAGACCACTGTCTACCGCGCGCTCACCTGTGTGAAGACATTTCGTGATCGGGCATGGACTTATGCACGCGTACTAGGGGTGGTGTTAGAAGTCTGGCAAAGCCACCGTGAACTCGGTGCGTACCTCGCGCACGCCACCCAACGACTCCTGCACGGCTTGCCCCCCGTGGCAGCATTTCTACGGCCGTCCCGCGCGACGCTCGTGCATCCGCATGCGATTCCGACTTCGTTCATTCCATCATCGCCCAAAAGCGCTGTTGTAGCTGATGTGAGCGACGACGTTGCGTTAGGCGACGACATGGCCTAACACGGCGACAGAGCTAGTTTCTTTCGTTTAATATCTACTGACAATACTCTCCAGTTACAAAAGCTGCTTAACCCTCCCATACTAGAATAGAAGGAAGTAGGAAGAGACTCGACTTTAGTTGATGTTAGTCGCACCAGAAATCAGAATGAATCTGAGAGCCATGACAGAGACTAGAGCTTTGCGGGTGTGAGGTGGAACATGCGGGGGGCGGCCATGCCAGCCGCAATGAACGCGAGAAGCCACACGAAGGGACCGACGACAGGCACCTGCACGAAATACCCGAGCACATATGAGAACCCAAATAGCATCGCCGACTGATGCGGTGATATCGTGCATGGAATCTCTACCGCGTCCTCCATAGGCAAATATGCTCTGATGAGACTCGTACCGTGTTCTGTGACGAGCTTTGCCTTGCGAGCAAAGACGGGGTAAAAGAGCTCTTTGGTCACCGCTCTAACCACAAACCGCATCCATATCTTGCCATATCGTACGCATGTACCGTGCGTCAAACCAAATTTTGGCGAGCTCGATCGCAATCGGTCGGGTCCACGGCACAACGTACAAGCCAAACACGACGGACGACAGGACCATTTCTGTGCGTCGGATCCTATAAATGCCCACATTCTCGATCGAAGATATGGATCGTATGGAAATCGCACTTGAAGCCAAACGCCGCGATGGCAAAGAGACTGCCAAAGAGCGGCGTCAAGAACGAGCCCAAGGCGAGGATGAGAAAGAGCGCCGACCGGTACGCCAAGAAGGTCGCTGTCGCGCGGAGGTAGTCCCAGTCAAAGAGAGATATGGGGATCTACGTCCATAGACAGCCACGTACAGCATTATTGGCAGCAGTCGTACCGAGGAGAGGACCGGCACGAAAGACGCGTGCTCCTGGCCGAGCCCGAGGAAGAAGAGGTTGTCGACCAGCGTCGGGTGGACATAGCGACACGCAGCGATGAGCACAAACGGAACGCCCGTGACCCACTTTTGAAACACGCTCGCGAGCAGCGTCGTGTACGGCCTAGTACGACTCTGAGGCAAATGTCAGGTGTACCGCGTACGAGTTGCGGCCAAGGAACAGCCAGAGCACGAGCTGGATCGGCCACGCAATCGTCGCGCCGATGAGAATGAGCAAGGCTGAGGTACCTGCGAGCACCCAGAGCGTCCTAGAGCCACGTGCTGTCGTGGCCTCACTACGAGGGGCTGCCTACCGGCGATACGACCCGCGAAGCTCGGGCAGCCCCGCCGCCAGCGCGCAGCCCTTGACTACACACAGCGTGGGCTAGCGCATCTGTCGACAAAGACGTACACGCGAGGACGGCGCCGATGAGCGCGGCCTTGAAGCCTTGGTCCATGGCAGCGATGGATGGGACGTGCGCCATGATTTTGTTTTTGTGCTCGGGCGGCCGAACGACGGTCGCGGAATGATGGTACTTTGAAATGGTCCGCAAATAGTGTGTTCCACGGCGTCGCCACAACACGACCCGTGTGCGTATACATCAACAAAATCGGACACCGCGAGCGCCATGCTTGCGTGCGTTCAACACTAGAGCTACTTGGCCACCGTGTCGGACCGGTGGTGTCGACAGAACAAGGACCGTTGGCCGAGATGGCCAGAGAACCGACGGATATAGTGTGTAGACAGGCCGCGTCTCCGTGGCGCCGCCGACCAGACCGACGCCGACACGTATCTCGGAACCGATATCGGAACTAGCAATGATGTACTACTAGGGTATGTAGTGTCATAGTTTTTAATTTTCTCTTTCTCGCAAGTGGCGGGGTGTGGTGGCACAGAGGACGGACGACGACGAGGACGACAAAAAGGAGGTCGGCTGGCAGATATGGACGCGGCTTGGCGACGTGTGAACGTACTCGTAGAGTGTACGCGGTGTGTGCTGGCGTTAAAACTGGGTTGGCGCGACATACACGATGGTGCTAGACACCTGGAGCACGCCATCAAGCGGGACAAGCGTCGGGTCGTCGGTGGCGGCGACAAAGGCAATGTCGCCAAGCTCAAAGTGCTGGTCGTTGGGAAGATGGGTTGCGCAGCATCCCGAGGCGTCGTCGAGCGCGGGGCAGTCGCAGCCAACCACGGAGCACGGTTGCATCTCGACACCTTGGTCACACGTGAAGAAATGACCGAGGTTTGCGTTTTGGCCGCGCTCACTGACAGCTGGTGTCGCCACCACGTGGTGGCACGCCAGGTGTACACGCGTAGGAACCCACACGTATGCCACGACAGCCTTGCTCGCCGCCCACTGCAAAAAGGTTGAACTAAGCCGACGACGGCGAGGCTGTGTCGAGCTTACGATTCAACACTGTCGTAGCTCGTAGTCGGTCTATCGCTTCGTTGACGACTTGCGGCACACTTCAGAGGTCGGACAGTCCAGTCGCACCATTTCTGAGAGGCGCGGCGCGTCTGGGACGTTTCGGTACATACGAAGCGCGCACCGCAGCAATAGTGTCGATTCTGTTTTGCACTTTGCAGTACATGCGACCACTGGTATCAGCGCTATATGGCTATATGGCTCCGACACGGTGGTGAAGCCTGTGGTGAGCCCACGTTGGCCGCTAGAATCACTGCTCGACACTCCAACGACTGCTGACTTGGTGACCACCATGCATAGTTATGTTTATAGCTACGGGCTTTGAATCCATGCAGCCATGTCATTCCCTTGCGTGCCCGTTGCAAGCAGCTAGACATTACAGTGTAATACTACGACGACTACGTACTACGACATGGGCAACGCTTCGTAATGACGACTTGTGCACGACGTGGGATTTTCGAATTGGCACCAAAAGACGGTGGTGCATGGCGGTTTGTTCAACGACGAACGCTGTAGGCGCCTCGAAGGGCAACGCAATAATAACGCTCGTCCAGCATATGCATGCGTAGGTGTGAAGGCCTGTTGGATATGTGGCATCGTCCGTGGCTATCAGTCAGTCACCTTCATGCGTCTCGACGTACTGTACTACATCACAGGATGTACTCGCAATGGCGACACCGACCAGCCTAAAATGAGGCTAATATCGTAGCGAAAGTGCAGCACAAAATGCGTCATGTCGTGACACCGAGGCGTTGCACCAATAGGGGCATGATGCTGCAGCGTGGCAACTCGACCAGAATGCTGTCGCTATCACGAGTGCGCTGTCTAACGGTGGCGCGGATTGCTTAAGTACACGGAGGCAGTTGCGCCGGCTCGCGCGGCATCCACGTTCGATCCCGATCTCCGCACCTGCACTGCGTCAACGTTGCCAAAGCTGATAATCGTGCGTGATGGAAACCGCGAAGCGGACCCATGTCGACTGCGAGCCACCCGACAAATGCAAACATCTTGATGGACTCACCGTCCCGTGGCGACAGAATTACGATTCCGCCGTGTCCGTGATCATACCACGACAGCGCGCTGTCTTCAAGGAATGAGACGAGGTCGTACAACGCTCTCGTTGTCGTGCTACTATCTCTAAATTCGGTTTCGGATTACATGTCTTTATTGCACTATTGCGAATGTACTTCTGAATGCAACGTTCTACCTCTCACACGTGTGCCTGCAACCCCTTCTACCACATTGGTTTGAGCATAGTTTTTGATCCAAGTCATATAGCTCGGACTGGCGCGCACCCAGAGAGCGTGGACTGACATGGATGAAGTCGCGTAGGACGTGTGCAACGCCCACTGTTCCAACTTGGGCCGCAGCCATGTTTACCCGCAGTGGTTTGTAGTATTGTGATAATCAGCATTTTTGTCGCCCCGAAATGGGGTCTAATTCGCTGACGTTGTTTTCTACCGGATGCTGCCGGACGAATAATTCGTTTGGAGGACGACCGCTAATTCGTCCGGATACGTATCGCCGAACTGCTAAAACGTCCTAGCGTAATATAAATCAATTCAGGACGGGATAACATGAAAAATGTATTGATCAGCCCCTTGCTTGAATAAAAATAAAAAGGCCGAAAACATTGGCGAAGGCAGTGCATATTTCAAAACAATTCGTTGGCCCTGCTGCAGCGTAAGTGGGGAAGCGACGGAGCGCCGCACGACCCCAGAGCGCCAGCCCTCCGCCGCTCGGTCACGACCGACGCTCCTCAGACCTAGTGCGTCTCTGCAGGTATCGATATGCACGTCTACGGTACAGGGCATGGCGTGTAGTGGCAGCGTGTCGGGTGCGGCCGAAGCGGCCGGTCGCATGCATCCGCCTCGACGAGAAGCCGACGTCGTCATGGGCGGCGAGAGCGGAACGCTGCTGCCCGTTCGCGAAGTAGTAGGGATGGACCGAGCGAGGCAACACATAGCATTGCATCGCATTGGCGTTTTCAATGTCATTATCGATAACAAAGCTGGACAGGGGAGGCGGCGGTCGAACGACCGATTGGCAAGTGCGCGCGCAGCGCGAAAAATCGGCGGGCGCGGAGCGCCCGCCTCGAAATGGGCCACGCATAAAGCAAGCTCTCGATAGTAACAGCACTTGTATTCTCTATGGATCTATCGATCTGCGCCGCCAACGCATCGAGCGTCGGCTTGGAATCGAAGCGCAGTCAAGGAGGGAAAGGAAGCAGAACCGTCCGTAGCTCCTCAGTATGGTTGTCTAGCCCGTGTGGGTTCTCAAGAGGTTGATGGCACCTGCCGGTTGTCCCCTCCATCGTTCTGCAGAGCAGCTTATTGAGCACACCACTCAACAGAATGCCAGTCATTTCCACGTCAATGCAACGCCGCGCCACAATTGCATGGGACGAATTGCTCTGCGGGCCCGACGAATAGCTGCGCGTAGTCGGCGTTTGGCGGATCTGCACCCGCCAATCGTCCCTTATTCCGGTAACGTGTCCTTTTAACAGGCCCGGAAGGCCCTGCAGGGGCCGTAATTCGTCCTCCCCTCGTGATCCGGATCTGTAAATCGTCGTGACTCACGCTATCCGGACGATTAATTCGTCCATCCGCCCCGATAATTCGTCCGGATGGGCGAATAAACAGCTCAGATTAGGCTCAAATCCGCCAAAAACGCTGATTATCACAATACCACATGGAGTTTATTCCGCTTTGGATTTAGCTGCACTTGACTGGGCGACAGTACTCGGATCAAGCGCAACCATACGCTTGACAAGATTGCAAGGCTCAAACGACGTTGAATGGCCGACGTTATGAGGTCTGCAGGGCGACAACATGAAGTCGACGTTCTGTTGTCCTTGACCGGTAGAGCGCCAAAGTGGGTATTGTTGTGACTGTGTCGATTGTTGCTTCATGTCCAGAAGAGATCGTTGAAGTGTGATCTGCTACCGGTATCCGAAAACCATTCAACCTTAGGCACGTGGAGCATCCGTCGTCAAGTTATGACATTTCCCGCGCATTCTTATTCGCTCAGTCTGCTGCACGAGTCTGTTGCCACCCAAAAACAAGCCAACTAGCCCAAACTAGTCGATTGGTCTCTACTCGTCTAGCCGTCAGCGCACGTTTTGTTTGGCATTCGGCCATTCACATATTTATTCCCTTCTTTTGTCCACAGAGCCCCTCCAGCTTCCTCACCCCACGACCCGCTGGGCCGATATCGACGGCCCGCAGAGTACTGGCGACTGCTGACACAACGTATTCAAATGAAACAAGTCAACATGTATTATCAGTCGCATTAAAAAGACGGTCGGATAATAACACCCGACTTTAGCCCGTGGGGGCGTCGAGGGAGTGCCATACGCGCACCAAGAGTGCCGTGCTCAAGAGCAAGAGGCATAGGTTGCCAAGGCCAATGACGTACTCGCCGCCGACGACGCTGCCCGCGGTGCCCCACATGGCGCCGGTGAGTCGCCCAGCGTAATTGGAGAGCTGGATAACGATCGCGGCCTTGTCCGAGAGCGCATCCGGCAGCGTTTTGGTCAAGAGCGATAGCGTGATCGTGGATGCGAGGTTCATGCCCCAGCAGACAAGGAACCAGCTCAGGCCGAGGGTCGCTGGCGTCGGTTGCGCCAGCGTACACTGATGCACGATTGTCCCAGCGATCGCCAGCCCAAACGCAGCCGCTAGCACCAGGCGGTCGGGAGACGTTTTCGTGTAAAACGAAAGCGGTAGAATGAGACCAAAGCTCGCAAACCCACCAATCGCAATCAAGACGCCCGCGTCAAAGCTCGTCCATGCCCACGCCGCGTCGATGAAGACCGGAATGTTCGACTCCCACGCGCCGAGCTCGAAAAAAATGGTCAGCGACCCGAGCGCCATGGCCACAATGGTCCACCGGCGACTACTGTCCAAATGCGATAGTTTGGCCTGTACAATGTCGTGCAAGTCACCTTGCGTGCGCGGTGGCGCGTCGACAAAGACGATGCGCGCGACGAGCCAATAGACAAGCCAGACCGTCGCCATGAGCCACCCGGGCGCTGTAAAGGCGTTCCAGAGACCGGTCGCCGGTGCGTATTTCGCCAGTAAGGCGCCCAGGAGAGGACCACCGACCATGCCAAGCGTCTGCGCTGCAACCAAAAGGTTGGCACACATGGTGCGGCGTCGGTAGCCCACGAGCCGCGGGTCGGTGCAGTACCGCTTCACGAAGAGCCAGCCCGTAAAGCCGAGGCCGTTGACGAGCCGCCCGACGAGGAGGAGCTCGAGCGAGTCGAGTGTATGCGCGAGCGCATACAAGAGATGGCCAAGCACGAGTGTACTCGCAGCGAGGTGCAGCGTCGGCATGTAGTAGTCGCGAAAGCAGTGCACATGCTGGAGCGGCACGAGCGAGACGGCCGAGGTGAGCGTGATGCCGCCGATCACGAGGCCCGAGTAGAGGTCCGTGGCCCCGAGGCTCCGCGCGTACGGTGTGGCCGTGGGCACAATGATGTAGAACGAGACGTTGAAGAGAAAGTTGGCGACCAAAACGAGTCCGAGCGACGGCGTTGGCGGCAGCTTGTTCTCGTTGTTGTCGTTGGAAGTTGAGTCGAGGGCCAAGTGCAAACTCGGGCGGGTCGTCGACGCTGGAGTCGGAACCACGTGGAGCTCGTACGGTGTTGCTCGCATGGTCAGAATGGAAGAATGTCATCGTCGCCCCACGAATCGCAACGTACTGAACGCGCCCACTTGAAGTAAACGGATCGTTTACAGTCCATGACGACGAGCATCTGGAGCGATTAAAAGCAATAGAAAGCAAGTATTCAATTTACCTGTAAGAACGCATAGATACCACCTATGTAATTTTAGAGTTGCTGGTTGGCCGACTGCCACGTCATGCAGACGCATCACTCGTGGCTTAGTCAGATTGGTGCACTCTGTGGTGTCGATTGAGTGAGACCTGCGCGAGCCGCTCAACTGCAATTTGTCCCATAGCTTTGTTCAATAGTCGACGCAAATTAATCTCCTAGAGCTGAGTTGTCGTTTGGCAAATTGTCCCACTCCCGTCTCCTAATGCCTACCCCTATCTCGTCAAAGAGCGCACTGCAAACACTCGTGCTAGTGGCGTCCTTGCTTGCCCTGGCTGTCAGCTGCGTAGGTTAACCAATCAATAGCGTGCACTCAGAGAAGTGGTTGTCCGGGAGTCGGGCGTGATGCAAGACAGTGCTACTTGGATTAATCATCATATAATGTCGCGGCAGACTCTAGCACGTAGCACTAGCTTCAGTAATGCGGCGGTGTCATGGCTGAGCGCCGCGTGGGTCGTCGTGTGGGCGTCGGTGTCGGTGTCGATGTCGGCGTCGGTGTCGGTGCAGGCGTCGGTGCCAGTGTCGGTATCGGTGCCAGTGTCGGTTCGTCCGATGGGCGGTAGCGGCCCGACGTCGTTTGGTCGTCTTGCATCAACTCGTCCAGCCACTGGCTACTCTCTTGTCCTTTAGGAGCTTCCATGGGAAATGCAAAGTGACGTTGTGGGCACCACGACTTCTGGATGGAGCATACATTCTGTTCTAGTCATGACCTGCATTCACGATCATCATTCTGTTCGATTAGAAATCCGTGTTTGCTAACTCGTGCTAGAGCAGCGAGTGGAGCGTCGGTTGTACGGACGCAAACGACGGCTGCAGCAGACACCACTGCACCTTGGCGCGCGCATCTTTGGCCTCCGCATGGCCTGCTAGATCCGCGGCCAGCGCCTACAACACAGCTGGTCAATCAAAGAGACAAGGGTGGAGCTAGTACCTTAGCGGGCGACTGCAGCAGACGCAGCCAAACCTGCTGCTGGCGCTGCGAGGCCGCAAGCTCCGACGCACCCAAGCAATAGCGAGCCAGGTGGTGCGTGGCCACCGCGTACAAGTCCTTCCCGCGGGTCGCCGTGATCGTCACCGAGACGACGCTGGCGACGTACGCATCGAGCATCTTGCTCTCGGTCGTCGCCAGCAACGACGACGCCAGTGCCGTCGGCACCTACACAGAATGTTCAGAGAACGTTCTTCCTAAATGGTCGACGCACCGTGACGAGCGCAAGGCCACCGTTCATGCTCAGCTCGGACCACAGCCAGAGGCGGAGCTCCAGCGGCAGCGACGGGTGCAAGCAGAGCGTCATAATCGCACTGACGCCCACGTCGCCGTACGACGCACCACAAAAGACTTGGAGCAGCGACTCGACAAACGACTGCACCAGCGCAGGTTCCTTCCCAGGCTCGCACGGCTTGTAGCATTGAACGACGTGGCCCAGCGCGTCGTGCCATCCGTCGGCCGCCACTGCGTTTACATAGTGCGCCACGAGGGGCTGCAGATGCGTCGCGACCGCAGGCGACAGCCATGCGTCCGTCTCGAGGAGGTATACGTGACTGAGATGCACGAGCTTATGGGCCGTCGGCGTCGCGTCGAGCAGCGCCGGTGCGCTACGCAGCATCGTGTCCGATGACCGCCTTCAAGCAGTCGAGTTGGTACCTTGTTTCGAGCTGCAGGAGCAACGAACACGCTTCGGCTAGGAGCGTCTGCCACGCCGACGCACTCATATCACTCGAAGCGATGCGCGAGAAGAGGCTAAAGAGCCAGTAGGTCGGCCACGGCAGCGTCGACGGCGCATCTTCGGGCTGAACGACGTGACACGTCTCCTTGGGGTTCGGGCTCGCACCGGCCATGGCGCTAAACAGAGCACACAAGGCCGGGAACTGCGTCGCAAAGAGGACGCGGACGATGCTGCGGGCGTCGGCTTCGTCGCCGGGCTGGCAGCTTGCGAGCCATGCAACGCAGAGTGGCCAGAGCACCGCTGTCTCACTCGACCCGTGCGTCGTGCAGAAGAGAGCGCACGCGACACCGATCGAGCGGTGCGGCGCCAGTTGCTTGAGAAAGCCTGGGGTCATCGCCTTTGCCAGCCCCGCCAACGACACTAGACGCACCATCAGCCTCGTTTCTGCTCAAGAGGCGAGACTACCTGGTGGAAGCTGCTTGGCCGGCGCGGCAGCAAGCGCCGTAAAGTATGCCAAGAGGTCCGGTAGCCACTACGTCGGCACGTCATCACACAAGCACCTTGGACCATGCAGTCGTACCTCGAGCCCCGTCGACGACGCCAGCACAGCGTCGAAGAGCGTTGACAGCACAGGGGTGACGCGAATGTACGGGTCGACATCGAGGATCGTCGTGTTGAACTGGACGATGGGCCACGCAGCGGCAAGGAAGCGGACGGCGGCAGCCACCATGGGCGATGTCGACAGCGCCGCATGCTGCGAGAGGAGATCCGTAGCCTGCTGTACAAAGAACGGCAGCAGTCGGTAGTACTGCGCGGCTTCGACGCCATTGCGCACGAGAAGCGTGAGAGCGTCGAGAATCGCACACTGCACTTCGATCGGCCACGGCGAGAGCGCGACGCCGTCGGCCGCAAGCCCCGCGGCCGGATACCCACACAGAAGCGGGTACAAGTACGCGACACTGTGCAGATCGATCCCGTACGAGAGGCAGACGCTCCAGAGCCGAAGCGCGTCCAGCTACAACCCAGTTTGCACGGTCAACACATGAGCGTGGCGCTACCTGCAGGGGGAGCAAGCCCGGATGGCGAATCGCCAACACGACTTTGGTGGCTGTGAGCAGCTGGTCCTGGAGGCACACGGCGGCTAGCGCCGCGTTAGCTTGGCATAGTCGCCGCAGGAGGACCATCGTCTTGCGTCGCATCTACGACCTTGGTCATGCGCCACGTTTGGATATAAGGGACCGTACGGCCAAGGTCGCGAGGACGTCGTCGATGCCTTCGTGGCTCAAGAGCTCGAGGAGCACGCTGGTCATGCCTTTGACCTCCAACAGGTGTGTGGCCGCGCTACACGGTCGTCGTCAGCTACAGCTGACGTCAGCAGCGCGTACCGGCGCGAGTGCATCGCCAGTGCAACGCACAAGTCGAGCACTTGGTCGTGGCTGCGAGTCCCACGCAGTGACGATAGCGACAGCAAGTGTCGCAAGCGGAATGGCAAGTGCGTCTTGAGCAGGGCTTGGATCGCGTCGGCGGCTGCGAGTTCCTTGAGCTCCATGGGCACGTCGTCCGGGTCCTTGTCGCCGTCGTCATCCTCGTCCGTGTCCTGTTTGGCCGCCGGCTGGAGGTACCGCACAACGCGCAGCTTTCCTATGTGAAGCGGTCAGTCGCCACCACTAGCGTCGGCGTGACGCACCAAAGCGATCGACGGGCGTCATGGCCACGCCGGTGGGCTGGATGCACAGGACGTCGAAGCGCACAAGGGCGGCGTGCAGCGCGTCGATGCCAGCCGTGAGCACCGACTGGTTGGCGTCGTCGAGGGCGTGTCGCAGCGCAAGGGCAATGGGACCTACGGCGATCGCACTGTCTTCGGGCTGCCGCAGAACCTTGCCTAGCACGGTGCAGGCAACGACCCGCTGCGACGCGACCGTCGACCGCGCGAGCAAGACGAGCTCCTCAATCGTGTACCTAAAACACAGAGAACCTCCTCATGAGCGCACCGCAAAAGCGTAAAAACGAAGAGAGACCCAGGGCGGTCGGGGTCGTCACCGTGGTGGTACAGGCCGGAGTGCGACGGCGGCAAGAGGCCGTCCGTGGCAGGCAGGACGTGACCATCAAAGTCGACGCGCACCGCCGTCGACGACGACGACGTGGTCGGTGGCAGCGACGTCATCCATTCGTGCTTGGCGCGCTCTTCGTCCGGTAGGCCTTGCACGGCCGACGCGAGCTCGGCGTCGTTCGAGACGCGCGGCAGCGGTCGTTGCGTGCGTGGCGTCGCGGCGACGGGCGGTGCAACAGCAGGCGGTGCAACGGCGGGTGCAGGCGCCTTGGCCTTAGCGCGGTTGCGGAACATGGCGAGGACTTCGGGCGACAATGAGGCATGCAGCTCGTCCTGCGCCGACTTGATCTCGTCGAGCGACATGTTGGCGATCGCGCTGTCGTTGTCGGCTTGGATGTCGGACGGGATCGCGCTGGACGACCGCAATGGCGGCGCCTGCGTCTTGGCCGCTTCGGCGCGTCGACGGCCAAAGACGCTCTGCTTCTTGGTCGACGGAAAGCCTTGCGCGGTCCCGACGATCGTGGGCATCGGGCGCGTGACCGGCGCCGACCGCTCGAGCACCGCACCGCGCATGACCGCCGACGCGAGCGTCGGCGGCGCGTTGGACGCCGATGGCGCCGGCTTGGGCTTGGTGTGCAGCTTCACGGAGGAGACCTTGCCGCCCTGCATGAACTGCTCCTGCTCCTTGAGGAGGAGCGCGAGCTCGGCGTCCACGTCCATCTCGGCCATCCTGATGGGTGGCGCTGCAATGGTTTTGAATTGACTTGGGTTTTGTATGGTGCACTTGCGAATTCCGAGGAAGCGGGCGCTGCTTCGATGGAAGCGGCTGCCATCCGCGGTTGCATGGCGCTCGGATCTCTACCTCCTGCGCGGTCTCCCTTCCTCGGCAAGATGCGACCTGCGCCATCTCTCTACCTCGGGTCGATGGCCATCATCAACCACTACCGCATCCACCTGCGCCCAGCAGCCGATGGCCACTGATGCTGCTCGCGGCCGCCAGTCCTGGGCATGCGATGGCTGCTAGTGAGCATGGTGTAGAGCAATAATAATGGTCAGGTTGTGTCGTTACGTAGCTACGGTCACGTCGCGAGGACGCGATCGCGGGCTGCGACATACATATGCATCATGGTCGACCGAAGCTGGTTTACTTGGCCGGCATCTTCTCAAAGCACTGCTCGATCGTGAAGCCCTTGTCCTGGTGCTTGCCCGTCCAGTGCTCCGTGAGCTGGCGCGCCTACGTCATAAGGATGAGCAAGCTGCGTATCGATGGCATCGGGCGCGTACGCTGGCGTTGACCATGAACGTCGTCATGCAGATCTTGCACTTGATGGCCGTGCGGTCGGCCTCCATCTTGGCCTTCATCTCCGGGCGGTTGGCCGCCTTGGCGTCCTTGGCCTTCTTGGCGTTGTTGCGATCACGCGCCTGCGCACTCTTCTGACCGTTGCCGCCACCCATCTTGCTGCTGCTGCTTCTTGGACGAAATCAAAAACTGAATTCTGCGAGCATGACTGGGCCGTCCGGATACCACAAACCACGCGACCGTATCCGGATACGGACGGTGCATAGACCCCGCACGGAACCAACGATGCAGCAGGACCACGGCAGAGGCGGCGAGGACGAATGCAGCTGGTGCATGAATCGTCGGCGTCTTGAGCGCAGCGATATCCTCCAAGGCGTCGGTACTGGCTTTTGGGCACAGGACCACAACTCTAGCTAGGGCAAGAGCTAGCTAGGGCAAGAGACTAGATTTGGGTGGTGCTGCAAGCTGCGTCCAGTGACAGGAGACGTGCTCGTAGTAAGAAGCCCTACAAAATATCAATACGATTCAGCGTTGAAACGAGTCGTTGCAGAATCGACGTCAAGTTGCGTGCGTTGAGTCGCTTGGCTTGTCTGGGCTGTCGTGCCGCCACGTCATATGTGACGGATCCGCCCTGGCTGCAACCGACGGCGGTTTCCAGAGACGCCGCTTGGGTCAAGGGCGCCAACTCTTGCAGTTGCCATGCCCAGTGGTCGTGTCGCGGCCGCGCCGCCCATTGAACCGTTTGGGCCATCGTCGACCCAGCCAGCGGCGGCGCTTCTGTCGATACCGAGTGTCCGTCGATCTCTCGAGGTCCTTGGGATGCTCTACGTCGTCGGGTCCATGGCCCTGAGCGTGTACGTCCTCGGCGTCTTTGCGACGTACCTCTCGACCGACTATGTGTGGCCCGACTTGTCTGCGTCCGGCCCCATCGTCGTTGCGCTCTTCAATAACGAGCTCGCGCTGCGTGGCAATGGGCCCCTGGACCTCTTGTCCACATCGTACGTTTCCGGGCTCCGGGGCACGAGCCCCGCGTACCCTCGACTGATCATGTACTCGACGCTGACGTCCTTAACGGACGGTGTCAAGGGGCTTCGCCGCCTGCGCACGCGCCAAGTGGTCAAGATGGTCACGCCCTACTGCTGGGCCGATCTTGCAAAACGCTGGGAAATGGCCTACACGCTGAAGCGCCAAGCGCGCTGTGCCATGTACGATGGCACCAATGGCGCGGTGCACTTGGAGACGGTCTTGCGCAACATCAACTTTGCCGCTTGGCTCGAGAATACGCAAGGCAAGTTTGCATCTGCCATCGGCAACCCGATCGCGGCCAGCAGCGCGGATGGCGCCCACTGGCTTGCAGCGCTCAAGACGCATACATGGAGCTCGGTCGACGCGGAAGTGGCGCTGTGGTCCCAAGCAAATTTGACGCATTTTACGCTGCAGTACGGCACCGGCTTTGGTATCGGGATCACCGAGACCATTCTGGTCGAGAACGCACTTGGGCAGCAGCTGCCCATGACGATCAAAGCCATTTTGGCAACGAATCGCTGGACCTTTCGGACCACTGGGATTCTCTACAATTTGCTGTACGATGACTTGTATGCGATTGGGACCAATCAAAGTCTCGTACGGGGCACTGCTAACTACTTTGCGAACATTGACAAGGACCAGATCGAGCGCTACATCCAGGGACTGCCGCTCGGGCCGGTCGAGCAGGCGCTTCACGACTCGATTGGTCCGCTCGGGATCATTGACGTCAAGTGGGTCCCGCCGCCGCAAAGTTTGCTCCTCGCTGTCGACAGCTTTGAGAAAACCGTTTACGCGACGCATGCGAATTCACTGCCAATATTGTCATCGTCTCGCCGGACGATGTTGCCGACCCCACCGCACTTTGCCGACCCCACTCTGCGCTTCTACTCGGGCAATCCCATGTGCACGTTTGGCGTCCCACTCCCGTTCGTGCAGCAGACGTTTGGATTCGACGACGTCTGCGGCAGCCAGACGCCGCTGACCGTCGAGTGGCACCTCATTCCCGCCCTCTTTTCGCTCTGGCTGCATGACGGCGTCGCGTCGACCTCGGACGTCTGCGCGGTGCTGCCTCCAAGCGAATGGGGCGTTTGCGCAACCCTACTCGCCGACGTTAAACAGGCCTACACGGCACTCGCGTGGCCGGCGCCACCGGTGTCGGTGCGCGATGACGTTGCGGCGCTACGCGTCGGGCTGCTTCAGATCTTGGAGCGCAACGGCACGATCCAAGTGGACGAAGCGCTCCTGCTCGCGCCAAACTTTAGTGTACTTGGGTGGATGTACCTCTTGGACTGGGCGCTCAATGCGCGCGAAGTCATCTCAGTCCAAGGCGACGTCGGAACGTTCACCATTGTGTCATACCTGTACACGCCCATCGTTGATGCCGCGCTGCCGCCGCTCGCCGGTCTCGGACCGTACCTCTCGACACTTGCAGCGCTTCCGACAGTGACGCTATTGGCTCTCGTTGTCGTCCTGCTCATCGTGCGGCTCGGTCAACATACTCGAGGGACCAGTGCCGACTGGGTCGCCTTCTACCCGGTGGGCGCCTCGATCTGGGTGAGTCGCAACGTGCTCGTGGTCCGCAGCGTCGCTGCGATTCTCTGCCTCAGCACGGTGCCACTGCAAGCGACGACACAAGACGGCCTTGCGCGCGTCGCTCTCTCGCCCCGGCCTCTCTGGCTCTCGGGTATTTTGGCCGGCGAGTCGATTTGGCTCATTTACGCCGCGCAGTACGTCTGCTTGCCGCTGTACAGAGATGCTACCGCGCTCCCGTTCGCAGCTGGCATTGCATGGGCCATCGTGCTCGCTCTCGATCACACTGCGCCGCTGACGCCGTCGGCACTCCTCTCTCGGTCGTGCTACGCTGTCAACATGGACTACATGACGTATTGCGCGAGTGGCCTCGTCCGCATCGGCAGCGGTGTCCGGTGCTTCACGATCGTATGTATTCATGCGAGCTCGGTGCTCGCGACGCTTTTGCTTGCTGCGCGACAGAACCAAGCTCCTCGACGGCCGTACTCAGCGACCAACGGCTTGGTGCCGCTGCCAGCGCTGTTGTTTCTTCACGAGATCGATGACGCTAGCCACCACGAGCTGCGTCCGGTGGCCGCGATACTCTGCGGCATCTTCCCGTTCACGTTCCGTGGTAACGCCTATGTGTTTGACGTGAAGCTCTGGTTGCTCTTGCATCACGATGACTTTGGCTGTATCACGGCCAGCGGCGGCATCGCCACCGTGCTTCCGTTTCACGCACCGTCGCCCGCGATGAAGATGCAGAAAAGCGATCTGCTGATGCCCAAGGTGTTGCCGTTCTGGACACGCCTCGTTGCCAAGCAGGTGGTCCAGCAAGTTCTGCGCCTGCTCGGGCTTGTCTACTTGGGTGGCACGCTCTGGAGCAACGTGGCGTACCTCGACGTGCTTCAGCGCGCCATGGCCAACGACTTTGGTTGGGCCGGCTTCAATACCACCGGTGCGCACCTGTTTTTGGCCAATACACTCAACCGACAACTGCTCTCAACCTCGAGCGCGGCGCTCACATTGGAGGACGCGGCGCTCGGAGATCCGTTCCAAGGTTACGACGGAAGCGCCAACACAGTGTCGTGGTACCCCACGGTCGCGCGCCGGTACCTCTTCAACACCTCGGCGCCGCTCCTGGAGCTTATTCAAGGCCTCCGCTCCATGGACCCGTGTCAACTCCCATGGATGTTTACGCAATACTGCTACCTCGACTTGGATCGGGTATGGGAGATGGCGAGTACGTCTCGGCGGCAAGAACGGTGCCAAGCATGGACCAGCAACGGCGCCGTGTTTCTCGAGTCGAGTCTGCGCAATCTCCGGGACTGGAGTGCGTGGGATGCCTGCTGGGGGGACTCATTTGCGATTGGCTTTGGTCAGTACCTCACGACATCGTCTGCCGGGCGAGCATGGCTGCAAACTGTGCGAGCCAACGCGCTGTCGTCATCGGACGAAGCGGCCTACTGGCAGCGCCATGGCATTTCGTATTTTCTGCTCCAGTGGCAAAACTTCAAGGACACGGGACTGATGGACGACATGGTCATCATGAATGCGTTTGGCGTCGCGTACCATTTACCGCTCAGCCAGCGCCGGGGCGTCCTCCATCTCGACCACCAGACGTCGCACCGCATGTACTGGTCGCTCGCCAGCGACCTCTGGGCGCTCAGCGCAAATCACACGCTTATCACCGGCACGTCGTTGCTCCGTAGTGCACCCAACTACGCGTTCACCAACACTTCGAGCGCGTCTCTCTTGTTTCAGAACCTCACGCTGCACGCTCCCCTACGCAGCGGCCTTGCGCTCCTTGAAGCGACGCTCGGCCCCTTTGGCGCCGTCGACATGATCTATGTGAGCGTCCCGAGCTCGCTCTTGGCGTTGTTTGACCGGGTGAATCGCGCGATCGCAAACGTCGCGCTGACGACACCGGCGGCGCAGACAATGCTGCAGTCGCTGCCGATCAAGCAGTACATTGGGCACGTACCCAAGGCGCTTTTGCAGAGCGTCGACGTCAGCATTGTCGGCGGCAACCTCTTTTGCGGCAACGACATTCCGGCGTCACCGCCCAGCGGCGCCTTGTACGCGCTCTTTGGGATGGACTACCTCTGCTCGTGGTGGTACCACGAGTACATGACGCCGTCGACGTCCGGTCTCTTGCTGGCGCTGCTCGGGTTTGACGGCGCCAATGGTTTAACGTCCAGCGATTTGGACGCGTTTTGCGCCAACGACGTGTACGTCGAAGACAATTGTGTTGCGATCTACGCAGCGTCATATATGTTTATCAAACAATATCTTCAGTCGAAGGAGCTCACGACACTTGCGACCGTAGCCGAGGCCGAGGCTCGCGCGCTGCAGATTCACACCGTCCAGTACCTCTCGCACCCCAACGATTCGGTGAGTTTGTACAAAATCAACATTCTCGACGCGACCGAGCGCAGCTGGATCTTTTTTGGATGGTGCTACCTCGCCGAGTGGGTCGTCGGGCAGCGCGAGGTCGTGGCATTTCATGGTGACAGCAGCATTCTCACGGCGATCTCGAGCCACACCAACCCGCTCTCGCTCGCGCTCACGCCGGACGACATTCCGACACGCCTCTCGTACGTCTGTCAGCAGTGCGTCCGGTACATTGCGGGCGTCTTCATCGGCGTTGCTGGCGTCCTGGCGCTGTATGCGTCAGTGGTGTGCCGCGGGTGCTTTGAGGGTATGAACCTCTTTGCACTCAACCGGATCGTCGGCGACGTTTACATTGGCCGCACGCTCCTCATTGTCCGCGGCATCACGGCCGTTTGGCTCCTCAACACGCAGCCGCTCGTGCTCGCGGCCGTCGGCGTTGGCGCCCGCTTGACCGCGCCGCGCATCTCGCTGTTCACGACATTGCTTGCGTCGTCCGAGCTCACGTGGCTAGTCTACATTGTCAACGACCTCTTCAGCTGCGTCACGCGGCAGCACACCACCCACTACTCGTGGAAGAGCTCGATCTCGGTGTGGGCGCTTGCGACCCTCTGGACGCTGCTCTCGCCGCAAGGCTACAGCGCATCGCTCGCGCGGAGCTGCGCTTATGTGGACATGGACTTGGAGCTACACTGCGTGAGCGGCTACATCCGCATCGGCGACGCCGGGCGACTGTTTGGCGACGTGGGTCTCGTGCTCGCATGCGTCTTGAGCTGCGCGCTTGTCGAGCGATGGATGCAGCCGTCGCTCGTGCGGCCGCCTATCCCGACGCTGCTCCTGAGCGCGTCGAGCTTTTACATGCTGGAACTTGACCTCTGGACCATCGACGGCAAGACGTACTTGGATCGCATGTCGGCGGCGATGGCCGGGATGCTCACGCTGCAATGGCGCGAAGACTACGTCTATGTGTTTGATGTCAAGAGCTGGCGCCTCTTCTCGTACGAGCCCGAGCGGCATCGGTTGGGCGACCGGTTCCGTCAAGCGATCCCGCTGCACCGTCTCGGGTAGCTCTCTCGTGGATGCGAAGATGTTCCAACTCCAATAGCACCAAGTAATAGATTTGCCTCGTTTGGACAGCGTTTGGTCGTCGGTCCAAAAAGGAAGGACTATGGAGTGCAAAGGCGGGGTCGAGGGGTGTAGCCAGTGGGTGTAGCTCGCTGTGGACGGGCCACATAGGATGGGTATACATGGGTGCACGTCGTTCGGCAAAGAGATGAACGACGTTGTTGTTCGCTGCAGACAAGATTGTGCGCTATGCGCGTCGAACCGAACCGAAGGTTTTGCATGATGACGGACTGCGACAGCGCTGCCGACTGACCGGCTGTTGTCAACGCCAGGACAAGGCACGCGCCGTATGCGTGATAGAGATGAATGACGCGATCGACGATCACGGACCAATGCAAGTCGCGTGCTCGTCATCGTTGGCATTCGAAGCAGCGGCTGGCGCCAAATCTCATGCGGCAGCTGCATTCTCCAAGTGCTCGCGATTCGGCTCCTCGAGCGCCACAAGTTCTCTCTTGTTTAGCTCTTTTCGGTCGTCGACAGCCAAAATTCATGACTCGTGGTACTCTAGCGATCACAGTTCGTACATAGGTTTGGTTGAATGGAGGCCGCTGGGCGTGCCACGTGTGGCTCAGAAAGGACGCGTCCGGATAATGTTTTCAAAGCCGGATATCGACACTTCTCCCTTGGGTCAGCTCCTTGGGTCGCTTTTGTGTGCACGTAAAATGTGTTCGGGTTCGAAATGGCTGCTCGTTCTCTGCATCATCTTTGTGATGATTTCAAAATGGCCTGTCGATCTTGGCGGCAGCCATACCAAGCCAACAAAAACTGTGTGAAAGGACTATAGTATGGTAAATAACTTAGACGACGTAGCTCGTCTCGGAATCGGAGCTCACGAGGAAGAAGGGCTCTTCGTAGCGGGTGCGCGGGACCTCGGGGGGTGCGATGCCTCCGACCGGCGTCGGTGTCGACCGCGCGATCGACGCGACGCTCTGCCGCACATTTTTCGACTTCTTGTACGGCCGCTGGATGATGATCTTGCCACAAATCGAGTACTGGTACCCGTGGTAGAACCGGTCCATATTGTCGGTGCGCACGAGCGCCATAAAGACAAACCCCGCGAGCGAGAGGATCCACATGAGCCGGACTTGATCGACAAAGTCGCGCTTGAGACCCGAGAACACGAGGCCGACGATGACCATGCCGAGGGACCAGCTCATGAGAATGAGGCCGTACATCGTACCCATGTTGTAGACGCCATAGAGATCCGTGAGGAAGCAGCCAATGACCGCAAACCCGCCGCCCGAGCAGACCTTGACAATGAAAATGAGCGTTTTCAGCTGGCCAAAGTCGTCGAGCTCACTGTGCAGGAGCGGCAGCGCGATCGCCGGTACGAGCAGCAGCAGTAGCATCATGAGCTTCCGCGCGTACGCCGGGTTCAAGTACAGCGCACGCAATAGAACGTCCGAGAGGATCGGGCAAAAGAAGCGGCCGGCGAGACCAACCGCGTCCGCATGCAGAATGAACGCGTTGGCTTCGTCGAGCGAAACGTTGTACCACGATGTCAAGAGACCGTCGAGGCTCGGCGTCGCAATCTCCACGTACAGCAGCGCCATGGTCGTGTTGGCAGCAAACGCCAGCACGAGGCACACAAAGTCGGTCGAGAAGATGCACTGCACGAGCGTGAGACCCCGCACGTGCTCGTAGTAGGCGCGCTCGGTACCCGGCGCGGCGGCGTCGGCGCGCGGCTTGGTCACCGCCGTGTAGTTGACAAGCGTCATGCCAAAGTCGAGGTAGTCGCCTTGGATGCGCTCGGCGCTGAGCACCGCGTCGGACGGGATCCCGTGCATGTCGTGGCCGTTGACGCGGAAGGTCGCCGGTGGTGTCCGCATCGCAAGCACGCAGTAGCCGAGGAGCGGCGATAGGACCACCAGCGTCAGCAAAAACACATTCTTAGAGGCCACGCTGTCGTCCATGTGGTCGTCGGCGTATGCAGAGAGCTCGTTCCACGCGATTTGGCCGGCACCAAAGCCCGCCATGGACGCGCCCATGGCGAACCCGCGCGCATCTGGGTACCACTTTTGCACCGTCGAGATCGAGCTCACCATGAGGTAGCCGAAAGCGAGGCCGAGCGAGACGCTCCCGAGCACGAGCGGCGACCATGTCAGCGTCCAAAGGGCAAGTTGGACCAAGAGGAGGCCAAGGGCAACAAAGCCGGCGCCGAGGAGTGTGCTCCAGCGCGGGCCGTTGCGCTCGGAAGCTGGGCCGACGAACGCGGTCGTGAGCGCGACGCAGATGCCCGAGAGGATGCCAAGCGCCATGTTGCGGCCTTGGTCGTGGCCGCCAAAGGCATCGAAATCGAATGGCTTGGAGACGGTGCTGAGCGCAAAGAGCACGCCGCAGACAAACTGCGACGCGATCGCGGCGAGCAAGATAAAGTACCGGAAGAACGGTCGGCACTGGCACGACCCGTACCTCTCGCCCGGCAAAGGGCACACCAGCAGCCAGCGCTCGGCGTCGACTTCGGACGGCGCCTTGGGCGGGACCACGATGCGCCAGTAGTCACGGAACCAGCCGAACATATTTGTTTTTTGGCGGCAAGTCCGAAAATGAGCCTCTCGACTCTCAAATGGATGCGTCGCCAAATACATCTGTTGACGCGCTGTCGCAGTCGCGCTGGCTTTGTCCCAACGTGTCGATCGACCCAGCAGCATCACGGTACGACGCCAAGTGCCTCGGCGCATCAGAAGAATCGGACGAAGAAGCCATTTGTCAGCGCAACGAACAGCGTCGTCGGGTGCCTGGTCGGGGCTGCGACTCGGAAGGTTATCCAGTGGATGACGCAGAAACCAAGCAGCGCCTTCGACCCGTAAACGCATCGCACGGGCAGGCCAATCCCACTTTTGAGAGCTGCAAGACGACCTTCACGTGGTGTAATTTGATGTGTATACGCGCGTGATTGCGCTTGTAGCAAGCCCTCGTCGTGCGGTAAACGAGGTTGAGCGATTGCGACGTTGCCCTTGCCGCCAGTATCCGGAAAGGACATGTCGCAGCCAATACGTGGCAAATCGGGACGCAGGACTGATGCACAACTTGTCGAGTAGAGTCAACACCGAGAGTGACCGATGCGATAGACCTACTAGTATGTAAACGACCGTGCGATCGATCGAGATGCAAGCGCAAGGCGTGGTGCAAAGCCTCCTTGTATGGCCATTCGCCTCACGAAAGCACCTTGGTACGTCAAAGTCGACATCGTCGTTGCGTCATCGTTGAGAACGCGGTAATGACATCACCCGAATGACCTGGCAGAAGCACTCGTATTAGTAGTTCTACCCACAAGCAATCGGTTGCGCTGTCGCAGTCTAAGCGGCCTCCGTTCGTCTCGACGGTTCGCTGTTGCGGCATCGCGCCGCGGCAGAACGCTTGGTGTAGTACCAAGAGCATATGAAGCGTTAACACTGATTTGTCCGAGGGTCTTGCCCATCAATGCAACCACCGTGCACTCCCAATATGTGGCACTCGCAGCGATGCCCTTATAGCGAGCGCGGCTAAGGGGATGCTTTGGTGGGGACAGGGCGGGTGCCAGGGCCGCCTCATCAGGGTGCAGGTTTGGCCAACACCAAATCGAAAGTTGAGATGTCGACGCTATGAACTATGGCGGCAAGAAGCACGTAGCCCGCGCCGCTGTATCTCTCGCGTAAACGTCACGTAAGGTGCGCTCGAGCTGTGCAACTGTGGTCGCTCAGATTCGTACGCAAGCGATAACTGCACGCCGTGTAGTCATGCACTGTGGTGCATACGATGGTATGACGTTGCAACTCCCCTTTTCCTAATCAGCCAACGGAGCTGCGCATGGTTCGCAGGGCCTGCGCTTGCTCTGCATGATGACGCGCTCTCACATCTCACAGGTTACCCTCAGGTGCCTCTCGTACTGGACGCGTTATTGGGAGGTCACCAACGTAAAATGCTGTCCCAAGCCGTACGAGGGGTTGCTCCCGGCATTTGCGACCGTCTCGTTCCTCTTACATAGGCAGAGCTGACGCCAGCGCTTCGACAATTGCGTCGGCGATAGCCGCAGCACCTTCTCCGGTGTCGTCGTTGTTGCTGCTCGTATCGCTCATTCCACCTGCGGCATACGCTCAACTAGACGCGGATGCAGCCATCGCGCAGGAAGAAACAGTGTTGTCGGTTAACAAAAAGAGCAAACTCGAGTTATGCAGCATGGCTTGGCGACTAGACAAAGCTCATCAAACCAAGTCACCGCCATTGCAGGTCCTACCGAGAGATCCAGCGACGGTTCCCGGGACAAGACGCGCGTCAAAAAGCTCGGCTACACCCGCATTGGCTCATTTTCTTGCAGAGACGAAGGTCTTGTGTCTACCTTGGCTTGCTTGGCGGCTTCGACGAGCGCGCGGACAATGTCTTCGTGGCCCAGCTTGGCCGCGAGCGATACGAGCGACTCGCCGTGCTATGATCGATACGCATGAGCCCTCGTTCAACGTCAACGAGTGAGGACGTACAAAGGCCGTGTCCGTTTTGGCGTTGGCGCGAAGGAGGATCTTGGCCATGTTCAAGCTGCCGAGCTGGATCGCACGCAGGAGCGGCGCCGGTGACCCCTAACCCTTCATCTAGCGTTTTCATCTTCTGGCGCAGACGACGCACCTTGTTGACGTCTGCTTTGGCAATGATGAGGGCAAGCACCATATCGACGTGGTTGTTGGCGACCGCAAGGCAGAGCGGGCTAAAGCCGGCAACGTCGTCGTCGTGGAGGCTCCAGAGACCACGCTTGCATGTATCCGGGCGCTACATTGCTTTCAGCACATTTTTTTCAGCCTATTTCAAAAGATGACCTTGCTGCAGTAGTTGATGTCGGCGCCCGCGGCCAGGAGCAGCTTGACCAGCGTCTTGTGCCCGGCGTGCGCTGCGATCAGCAGCGGCGAGAGGCCAAATTGGTGCTCGGTCACGTTGACGTTGGCGCCAGCGGCGACAAGGAGACGGGCAATCTCAACGTAGCCGAGGACCGAGGCGGCGTACAGAGGCGAGACACCCCGCTAGCGCTGCCATGAGCTTTGAGAAGTATGTACACCGCCGTACCTCGCTGCACTGGTTGACATCCGCCTTGGCCGCCAAGAGCGAGTCGACGAGCTCCAAGTCGCCGTGGCACGCGGCCATCAGCAGCGCCGTCATTTGGCCCTACCGCCGAGACACGAGCTTGCAAGGGCGAAGCTACGTTCGATGCATACCTTGTGGGTCGCGTTCGGGTCGGCGCCAGCCTCGAGCAGCGCCCGCATGGTCTCCTTGTAGCGTTTCTTGGCTGCAAGGTAGAGCGGCGCGATGTCCTATGACCATATTTACTGCATATGATGTATGGCGATGACGCGGCTGTACCCAGGATGCCTGGTTGACGTCGGCGCCGAGGCCCACGAGCATCTTGACCATCTTGACGTTGCCGTTGTTGACAGCGTGGAAGAGGGCCGAGAAGCCCTAGAACAAGCGCATGAGCGCGGCCAACATACAGGGCAACGTACGTATTGGGTGGCATTCGGGTCCGCGCCGGCCGCCAAGAGGGCCTTGACGCGCGTCAGATCGCCGGCGCCCGCGGCCTGCGCCAACTGCCCACTGCCCTACGCGTGGCATGAGCCTATGCCGAACGAGCGACGAGGTCGTACCGCTCGCTCGTATGCGATCAGCGCCAAGCCGACGACGCTGACGCCGACTACTGCCGTCTTCAGAAGCACGCCCATCCTCGTCGTTCGCTATACCGCTCGTATGCCACTCCGCGTTCAGTGGCCGGCGCTCAAGCCGGGATTGGAGGGGGCCCCAATATATCATGGCTTTTCTTATACTTGGTGTTTGTAAGAGGGTGGGGGGCCCTTGAAATCAGAATGTGTGTGATTGTGGCAAGTTGATGCGCTTCAAGTGCAAGCGCCGCACGCAATGCGTTCGCATCGACTACTGACGGCCGCGCCGTCATTCCTTTAGATGCAGAGTTAGTACACTGCTAGTATAGTGTCTATAGCCCCGGCGGCTAGAGTGGAGCAAACGTCCGCTTGCGTGGCACGACCCGACGCGGAAGGAGTTCGTCTCAACTTGGCAAAACAAAATCATGGACCTGCAAAGTGATCCTCATTCGTAGAGTTAGCGTAAAGTTATTGTGCATCATGGGATATTGCTGTGGCACGAATAAGCTGTTACCTTCTAGGCTTGGCGCGCGTCAAATCACCGAGCTTTCGGTGTAGTTTGAGGAGGAATTCCCACCGATACCGAGAGGACTATCGCTCGAGATGGACCGTAATTGCCCACCAGTCTTGTAAGCTGTCAACAAAGAGCATGCGGAAGAGGCTGCGAGAAGTGTGCGGTTACTAGATCATAGCAGGTACTACAACGAGCAACGTCAAGGCGAATGAGACAATCGAGCCTTCGACTCCAGCGATGTTCACAAACCTCCTTCAAACACAAAAACAAACGCTCGACTTGACTTGCGTGGCACTCCATCTGGTTTCGCAATGAGTCTGAGGTGTCATCTGGACAATAATCTGATTTCTGATCCCGGCAAGTCGTCTGGATTCCCACTGCTGGATTCCCACACCAGCGCATTCCCTGCAATGGCACTTGGTATCTGATGACTACGACGACCTATGAAAAATAGTTAGTAGTCATCAGCGACAAAAATGCGCATGCCAGATGAAGACACATTGACAAGGTGGCGACTTGACGCGCGGACCTGCTACTTACGACGACGACGGGTGCATGCACCGCGCTCGCGGAATCGACAATCCCGCTTCCTCGGCAACGTCTTGGCGAATTCATTGACAGCATCAATGGAAAGGCGCACGAGGTATCACTCTGATTTCGGACGCCCCGAGTGTGTCCAGGAGGGAACTCAGGATGCTTCCAGCGACGAAGCGAGCGACCATCGAAGTCCCAACAACCCTCGGTATACGTCGACAAGGGAACATGGTGTGCATTACTGCTGCACAAGATGACTTGTGTGCACTTCCAGGTGTGACGCGGATAGTCTGTCCTCGCTTCCCCATTGGCCTCAATCGACATACTAGTACAATCGTGTCATGTAAACGCACCCCGATGCGCGATCGAGTCGCAGATCCGTAGCTCCTCACTGTATAACGTGGCAACAGAAACTGGTGGCCCTCCAAGTGGACTCGTCCCAGTAAGCACCGCCGGATCGAAACGACGTCGTTACATCGCACGACAAGTTGTCGCAGCCATCAATTCGCACAAATGAGTACATGTATGTCGCGCACGCCGCTCGGTCGCGACGTTTCGCGGCACACATGACACAATTGACAACCGTTTTGGGAATTACGAAACCGGTTGGCGCGTCCGAATCTACGACCCTACTCGACTAGAAGCGATCACACCATACCATTTGTCATTTACCGATCCCCATGTCTCGTTGGTTCCGTGACTACTGGCGCATCGTGGTACCGCCCAAGTCGCCCGACGAGATCGACGCCGAGCGCTGGCTGCTTGTGTGCCCCTTGCCCGGCGCCCGGTACGGGTCGTGCCAGTGCCGACCGTTCTTCCGGTATTACATTCTGGTTGCCGCCGTGCTAGTGCAGTTTGTCTGTGGCGTCCTCTTCGCCATGACCATCGTTTCCAAACCGTTTGACTTGAACGTGTTTGGCGCGACCACCAACAACCGCAACGCGCGGCTCACGATCGAGAGCGGTGTCGCCATTGCACTCGCGATGGCCTTTGTGGGCCCGGTCAACGAGCGCCGTGGGCCGCGCTGGAGCATGCTCGTCGGCAGCAGCCTCGCGGTCGCGGGTCTCTGCGCGATCCAGATTGCACTCTGGGCGCGGATCTGGGCGCCGCTGGTCGTCGGCTGCATTGGCTGCGGCCTCGGCTTTGGCTTCCTCATGATCTGCTCGGTTTCGACCGTGCAAAAGTGGTACCCCGATCTGCGCGGCTCGGCCCTCGGTGTGAGCATGCTCGGGTTTGGCGCCGGGCAAATTGCGTGGAACGCGACCTTCGACAGCGTCCGCGACCACCTCGCCGACGAGATGGCGCTCAACACGACGTTCCTCTTTGTGATTTTACTCCTCGCGCCGCTCCTCGCCTTCGGGATAGTTGCGATGCGGACACCACCAGCGACCTTCCGCGTCCAAGGCCACAACATGCACGGCATCCCGACCGAGGCCGTCTTGAGTCCGACGACGCTTCAAGACGACTTTTACAACATTGGCATGACACTGGTCAACTACTCGGCGGTAACGCAGCCGCGTCAGGACGGGGCGGTCGCGGGCACGGACCGAGCGTACCACGAACACGTCAAGGGCTTGACGCTGCTCCAGTGCATCTTTTCGACGGACTTTTTCTGTCTCGTGGTCGCGTCGGCCGCGCTTGCGTGTACCGGGCTTCTCTACGCCGAGATTTCCGACCCGACCGACCAAGACCGCATTCCTCGCTGGTTCAACACGACCAGCAGCGACCACCTCATGCTGCGCGCTGACATTGCGGGTCTTTTAAGCCGCGTGGTTTGCCCGATGCTTTCGGATGCGATGAGCAAAGGCTTCTACTGGAACCCGGCGTTTGCGCGCAAAGTGGTGTTTCTCTTGCTGCTCTTGGTGCCCGCCGTGTCGTTGCCGCTGCTCCTTACGAGCCTCGACGACTTTGCTCGGTTCCGAACCATGATTTATATCACCAAGACCGTTGCGAGCGGCGGGTTCGCGGTCATTGGCTGCTTCCTCACCGACTTGTACGGCGTCTACAACATGGGCACCATGTACGGCCTCGTGCTCGCGGGTTGGTCCCTTGGCTCGGTCGTCGTCGCGGCGCGCTTCTCGGGCGACCGCACCGACTACTTTGACCAAGTGCAGCTCATGTGGGTGCTCTGCCTCATCGGGTTTTGCCTCATGGTCTTTGTCCGCACGGACAGCATGGACCGGTTCTACCACGGCTACCAGCTCTCAATCTGTGGCAAAACAGTGCTGCAAATCCCGTTCAAGCGCCGACTGGAAGCGTCGTCGACCATGGACCCGGGCGGCTTGAGCATGACGACGTTGGGACGCTTGAGCAGCAAGCAGCAGATATCAACGTCGCTGAGCAAAACGATGAGCTTCAAGCACGACGGCGCATTCTTCATTGTGAGCTCCGATTCCGAAACCAGCGTCGGCCATTTCGACGTATAACCCGATAGGCGTTTAAACTATTATTTAGCAACACGATGTGAGCTCGTTCCCAATCTACTCGTCTCAGATACCGCCCAGTGACACAGTACAGTCGTCAGTGTCACTGCCCAAACGCGAAAAGGTTTTATGAGGATTCGCCCAAGTTGAAATAATGAAACACTGCATTTGGTTTTAGTTATGCGTGGTTGCAGCAACGTTGGCCGCCTACTGAGCAAAGGACATGGACGGCGTCGGGGCGAGTTGTAGGGTGTTCTCCAGCAACCACAATTGCTCCATGGATGGGCTTCCTCACGATCGCAATATGCCGAATCGCCGGTGCCGGCGTGGCTTGCTGCTTGAGCCGAGGTTTTGCAGGCCGCTGCGCCTCGTCGCTTTGCCACTGGCGGCACTCGACATTGTACCATGCCGCCAGCATACGGTAAGCTGCAGGACGTCGTCCACGCCGGCGGCAGCGGCGAGCGTCGCCTCTTCACGGCGACGCTGCTCAAGGTAATTGAGCACCACGATATCGTGACCTTCCTCTCGCCACGCGAGATGGATAATACATGTCTTATGTACTCTCCTCTCTCGACTGGAGATGGAGAGTACATAAGACAAGTATTCTCCATCTCGCGTGGCGAGAGGAATGCTACGATATCGTGGTGCTCAATTACCTTGAGCAGCGTCGCCGTGAAGAGGCGACGCTCGCCGCTGCCGCCGGCGCGGACGACTTCCTGCAGCTTACCGTATGCTGGCGGCATGGTAGAATGTCGAATGCCGCCAGTGGCCAAGCGACCGCCAGTCACGCCGGCACCGGCCAGTCGGCGAACTGCGGCTATGAACAAGTGTGTAGCATTTGTCCGGATAGCAAGGCGGCTTAGGGGGCGTGCCCTTAGTCAGTATCGAGTCTTGTGCGGTATCCTTTATCTATCGATAGATATGCATATGCAATGGACAGAGGTATGTATTTCGAGAGACTTTTTCCGGACCCCATATTTGGATATTCGACCCGCAACGACGATGGGCGCCGACGACAAGACGACCAAGACCGCTGCGCAGGTCTCGGAGGACCTCGAGCAGGACATCAGTGTGCTGCCCAAGATGGAGATCGCCCATCTGCACTACCTGCTGCAAGCGTCGGCCTCGGCGCATGCGGCGGTCTCGGCGGACGAGGTCTCGGCGGCCAAGGCCAAGCTTCTCGAGCACATCCAAGCGGACAGTACGCTTGTCATGGCCTGCGCGCAGTGACTCATCATATCTGTAGACATGGCCCCATATTATGAGCAGCTCTGCGCCGAGTTCAAGTGGCCCGTCGATGCGGCGCTTCTCGCGACGATGAAGTACGTTGCTCGACCTTTACAAGGATATGTCTCAACATGCGCCGCTTCTAGGAAGGCCAACGAGGACGAGCTCAAGGCGCTCGACGTGCAACTGGAAGACGCAATCGCCAATCTCGGTGACATTGAGGTCCTCGAGACGCACCTCGCGCGCGCGCGCGTCTTCTCCAAGATCGGCGACAAGGCTAACGTGCTGGACGCCTTCAAGACGGCGCTCACCAAGCCGACGTCCATCAACCAAAAGATCATCATCGAGCTCCACATCATTCGCATCGGCCTCTTCTTCTCGGACCTCGAGCTCGTCGAAGCGCACATCAAAAAGGCGACCGCGCTCATCGACGAAGGCGGCGACTGGGACCGCCGCAACCGGCTCAAGGTCTACGAAGGCTGCTACCTCCTCATGGCCCGCGACTTTAAGAAGGCGTCCAAGCTCTTCCAGGTACGCTATGCCGATCGCTATTGTCGCTTCTAGCATGCATGTAGGAATCGGTCGCTACGTTTACGAGCACGGAGCTCATGTCGTACCCGTCCATGATCTTCTACGCCGTCGTCACGTGCGTCTTGAGCATGGACCGCGTCGACCTCAAGAAGAAGGTCGCGTCCATCGAGCATCATCTTCAGCGTTGCCTCATACAAACGCGTAGATTGTCGACTCGTCCGAGGTGTTGGCCGTGATCCGCGACATCCCGCACCTCTCGGACTTTCTCGAGGGCCTCTACAACTGCAACTACAAGCAGTTCTTTACGGCCATGGGTACGACTCGTCCAGCGCCATTTGAAGCAACTTCTTGTGCGTAGTGCAACTCCACCCGTATGTGCACCGCGACAAGTACCTCGCGGCGCACTCGCGCTTCATCTACCGCGAGCTGCGCATCCTCGCGTACACGCAGTTCCTCCAGGCGTACCGAAGGTAGCACTCTTGTCTCAATCTCAATCTCAATCTCAAATGTTCGTAGCGTCACGATGCAGTCGATGGCCCACTCGTTTGGCGTCGGCATTCCGTTCTTGGACGCCGAGCTCTCGCGCTTCATTGCCGCTGGCCGTTTGAACGCCAAGATCGACAAGGTAGCGACGCAGCAGGGAGTTGCCCTCGAGATTCATAATCGCGGGTTAGGTCTCGGGCGTCATCGAGACCAACCGCCCGGACGCCAAGAACGCGCAGTACCAGGAGACGATCAAGAAGGGCGATGCGCTCCTCAACCGCATCCAGAAGCTCGCACGTGTCATCAACGTCTAAGTCGGAACGAGCTATATCGTGCTAGTAACGCGACGAGCATATATTCGATGCACAAGCTATCCGTGTCTTGCCGACCGCGTCCTGGACGACTGCAGACGCATTGAGCGACCGATTCGCAGGCCATCGACACGAGAAGAGAGACCGAGGCGACGGCAACTAGATGCAGTAGCACACATTACAAGCTCTTCAAGGAGACGGAGGAGTGATCACTTCCATCGATGCGACGTCGTCATCGAGATGCGAGTGCGCACGGCGCCTTCAAGAGCACCAACGTCTGCCTGCCGGCCATGTCGCCAAGCTCGCACAGCTGCACGTAACCCGGTCGAGAACACGCTGCGCTGGGCGGCTCCCGAGGTCGTCTTGGGCCACGAGGCGTCGTCGATGTCCTTTGCTTCGTCCTCGTCGAGCTAAAGACACGCCATTGAGTTGATGTACGCTTGGGCGACGCACGATGGAGAAACGTGGCTAAACACGCTCGGGCAGGTCCGAGACACGCGGCAACCACAGCCGAGTTCTTGTCGACTTGGCGGCGCCATGCGTCACAAGCTTGGGTCGCCGGAATGGGCCGTCGTGTAACACGTTTATAAGGCGTCGAGGTGGACTAGAATGCTGCCCAAGATGGAGATACCTTGTGCAGTGGACGCTCTCCATCTTCGCTAATGTCCATCAGACGCGGTCGTCTTGTCGTCGGCAGCGTCCATCTTTGTCGGGGCTGAATAAGATTCGAACCATAAGATAGTCTGCAAAAGGCCACTGTCATTTGCCTATCAATCCATACCTTTGAGATGCGAGAGTGGTCCCCAGGTAAAGGCTCTGCGCCTAGTCGCTCCTGTGCTTTTACTTGAGGCTTCTACGCTTCTTGACGCCCTGTCGCTCCGCGGCCACTGATGGCTGCTTTCCCATTTCTCAATTCGCCTTCGCCATCAACACGCAGTAGCTCCAAGACGCCCCGGCGGGCACCTCCGCCGCTTCCGGCCCACCACGATGTGCTCCACGCACCAAGCCGTCAACGACGCGCCAGCGCAAAGACGCCGTCCGCGCCGACGGGCGTGGCAGCCGCCGCCTGTTTCCAGGCACCGGGCTCAAGGCCTTACGGCAAGCTGGCCTGCAAAACGTGCCGGCAATGAGCGCCGAGTCGTGCATCATGCACCTGTTCCAGGCAGTCACCAAGGACCCCGCGCCGATCGCGGCCCGCAAGGCCAAGGCCGGCGCCTCGACGTCGGCAAGGCCGTTGTGCTATGCGGCCGAGAGGTCGTTAACGACGGCACTTGCCCGCAGGACTGCACCATCCTCGGGGCGGACCATTTTGCGGCTCTTCTTGAGCCCTACTTAGGCGACCCGCTCACTCTCGCGCGCGCAAGTTCCAGGACGCCGGGCTGTGCAAACTCACGCCAAGACATCTCTTGGCTTACATCGTTGTAGCTTGCTAGTATTTAGACTAGTTGATTAGCTATAATGATGCTCAACACGTTACAATCATCAATCTTGATTTTCTTCTACTTTGGTATTTGGTACGAACATGCACATACTAGCGGGGTGGACGCAGTCAAGAGAACCACGAGCATGTCGACACCAGCGCACAGGACCGAGTTCATGGGCATCAAGCAACCTCATAGGGACTGCTGGCAATGCAATTGATCAGGATGAACCACAGAGGGGACCTACAAATATTGCGAATTTGAGGGCCCTCCACCCTAGTCAGGCAATACTCACTTACAAATATGTAGTCGAATGAAAGTCACGAAAGCGAGGGGACCCCGACGGGGGACCCAATCTTCCAGGAGAGACCTGACGATGGGCACCCTGACGGTCGTGCTCAAGACGCACGTACGTTGAAGCTGCTGCACGCGTTGTATCCGAGGACCGGCAGCTCCATCCAGCTCAAAGAAATCCACTTAACCGATCGCACGCCGCAGAAGCCATTCGATTTCACGAGCGACAAGGACAACAAAGAGCCCAAGAGGCAGAAGAAGCGTCCAAACCCAGTCGGTGAGGCTGCCTGCAAGCTGTCTAGTTGTATGTCTTCTCCATCATACATGTCATCTTCATTTTGCAGCGACGACTACGAGGTCAACTACTACTACGATACTAGACACACGTCACTGGTTTGGTGGGATGTGATCGCACCAAGCTCTTCCCGCCATTGAATCGACGCGCGGCGCTGCATGTGGCAGGGATCCCACGCTCGGTCCATGCCGTCATTGGCGATATATCCATTGCGCTCCATTTGATTGCAGTCTTCATGAGGTCGAAGAAATGGTAGGTCCACTCGACGCAAGCGCCGTCAACACCATAGGTACTAGTACACTCGATTCCGTCTTATGTCGTCGAGCGGCCAAGCGTCGAGGGTGCGCCTTCATCCAGCTTGCGCTGGAGGTCGTTCGAGGGCTTTGCCGACAAAAGTATGTTCCACTGGGACATCTTATCGCGGCGGTCCTCCTTGGCGATCGCCCGCGACTGCGCCTCGACCTGGAAGTACTCAGCTTGCTTCTTCATGCGCTCGATGGACGCGGTCATGTCGGCCATGCGACTCTTCATCGCCACTACCTTTTGAAAGTAAATGGGCACCTGCGACATGGTCTGCTCCACGCCGGCGATCTTGGCGTTGCGCGTGATCTTGGCGTTGCGCTCCGAGACAACGTTGAGCAAGTGCTAGTGCATTTCCATCGTCGTCATGAGCCACGTCGTAGGACGCCGGCAGTCTACCTCTTGGCTCTCGACGAGCTCGCGGATCTGCTCGAGCGTTCCGTCCAAGACGCTCTGCAGCTTGCTCGCCGCTGCCAAGCTCATCTAGCAGCATGCATGAGATATGTGTTGGTTCATAGGTAGCGATACCTTGTCCATGCCGTCGACCTCGGTAAAAGGGCTGCTCAAAGCTTGTCGCCAGACATCGTTCTCGTCCGGCACGGGTTGCAGCGGCGAGGCCAGCGGTGTGGCTTGGGCCGAGGCCGGAATATCGATCGGGGATGGTGCTGGCTGCGTCAACGTGCTCGAAGGCTCGGTGGGCACGTTCTCGTCGGCGGCGAGCGTCGGGGCGACCACGGTCGCGGGCGAGGCAGGAGGCACAGGCGCCTTCTCCAGAACGGGTGCTTTCGGCGCGATCGTCGGTACCCACATGGGCTCATCTAGCATGCTTCATGGAGCATCATGTGCACGGAGCGCGCGTCTACCTTCTTCTTCTTCCTCGGACTCGCTGTCTTCCCCCGAGAAGATCTTGCCTGCCTTCGCTGCCATCGTCGTCCGCTTTGCTGCTTTGCGCGATGTCCAGTGATTGGCTACGTCAGGCGGCTTATTGCGCCCATTTTAGCCAATCCCGAGTGACACCATCGTGCATGTGGATTGGCTTAAATGCAGATGCGTACACAGCGTGGATTGGTTGAAAACCAAGCGAGGCGGCCAATGGCATTGGAGATTGGAGATTCAAAGTGGCGCGACAACCTCGTTGAAGTCGACGGCTTCTCGGAGCGAGGCCAGATTCCTTGGCATACGAGATTGCACAGAGCCGCCTTCTAAGAAGTACGCGAAGAGGAAAGTACGTGCGATACGTGGCGGTGCCCAGACCAAGCAAAGAGCAAGCAGATTCTGCAGCCATCGCAGTGCTTCCTTCACCAGCGCAGTGCCCAGTTGCGCGACCAGACGGGCGCGAAATTTCAGCGCGTGGGACCAAAACGGCGCCAACTCAGCTGCGGCTTCGAACCTGCGGCTCGTGAACTTCATGGTGCGAAGATTCGGTCCCACTTCAACTTTGTCGATGACGCCAGCACCATGGCGACATCGCGGCTATGCAGCACCCAACCGACGACGTGTACATAGAAACCCAAAGATCCTTGTCAACTCTCAAGGACGTCCCAAGCGAGGACGGTTCCGAGCTTTGCGACGGTTCACGACGACGCAACGAATTCCTTGCCGTTGTGCTGAGAACCAGGTTCTATTTCGAAAGCTTGGTCGACGTCGGACATATACACTGCGGCGCGGTCGTGGCGTCGGGTGAAGGGTCCCTCTTGGGAACCGTGCGTTTGGATGGGGAAGGGTGCAGGTTGGCAGGTGCGCATCTTGTGGATATTGCACGTCACGCGATCGAATCTGCGTGCAAATCATCTCGGCCGTGCCGGGAGTTGAACCCGCGAAGATGATTTATTTTCCTCCCAGTAGCCGCGACGAAACCCCTCCCTCGAGCACCACCCAAGAGACCTCACTACTAGAGAGCTCTCCTCTGCACGCCGATGAGCCGCTGATTGTGGGTGGTGGTCACAACCACATACAGTCTGAAGACCAGACCCGTTCGGCCTGACGCAAGATCCCACAACAGCTTCCCGCCGCCTGTCTGAAGTTGAAGTCGGCGTCACGGCGTCTGATTGGTGCAAAAACGTACCATTGCACCAATCACCGCGCGTGGTGTCGCAGGGTGTCCGGTTACAAACAAGTTATCCGGTTTTCCATGGTTTGCACCCGGATGTTGAAGGTCGTATCCGGAAGGTCATCACGCCCGGGTGCAGATTCAGCGTATACGTTGACGTCAGAGGCGTGAATCTGGCACCACAGAATGACCCAAGCAGCGACCTGCGAACCATCTCCGTCACTTTTGCATTCGATGGCCCCGCCCGCCCCACAAGTCGCCATCACGGTGCAGTCGCCGCCGACCAAGGACGCCTCGCCGCCCACCAAGGAGGCCTCGCCGCTCCTCGAGCGCGCCGACTCGCTCACCGAGACCATCAACCGCCGCGTGCTCGTTTCGGCGGTTGCCAACTTTAGCACTGCCGTACGACTGCCATCTACTTGCTCGATGACCACGCTCATGATGCACCTATCGTAGTACAACCTCGCGATCATTGGCAGCGCGGTGCTCATGGTCAAGGAGACCACGCCCGATAGCGACGTCTCGGCGATTCCCGCCGTCTCGGCGTGCTCACTCATCGGTGCGATCGTCGGCCAGCTCCTCTTTGGCTACATTGGTGATGCGCTTGGGCGCCGCAAGGGCATGATTCTGACGCTGACGCTGACCGTCATTGGCGCCATCATGAGCGCCATCTTACCGTACGATGGCTCCGTCTACACGATCCTCGCGGCCTGTCGGTTCCTCCTCGGCATCGGCGTCGGTGGTGTCTACCCGCTCTCGGCCGCGTCGGCCGCCGAAGGCAGCTCGGACCCGGTCCTCAACAACAAGCGCGTCGCCGCAGTCTTTTCGTTCCAAGGCTGGGGCCAGCTCGCGTCGTTCCTCTTGACGTACCTCTTGCTGCAGACAGCGCTCGACCATGCGATCGTGTGGCGGGTGCTGCTCGGCGCGGGCGCGCTTCCGGGCCTCGTCGTGTTGCATGAAGCGATCGTGTCGAAGGAGACGGGCGCGTACCTGCGCAACCAAGCCAACCCGCACAAGATGAGCGTCTGGACTGCGCTCAAGACGTACGAGCGCCAGTTCATTGGCACAGCCCTCGGCTGGTTCCTCTTTGACATTACGTTTTACGGCAACATCATCTTTACGCCCGTGATCCTCGAGGGCTTGTACGCAGAAGAAGCCTCGACGATGGTGCAGACGATCCAGTTCTCGGTGCTCACGTCGGCGATCGCGCTGCCAGGGTACTACCTCAGCCTCTACATGATCGGCCGCATGGACTTCAAGCACATCCAGATGCAAGGCTTCGCCATCATGGCCGTCATCTTCCTCGTCATGGGCCTCTTCTACCACGCACTCCTCCCGCTCAAGTCGCTCCTCTTTGTCATGTATGCGCTCACGTTCTTCTTCTCCAACTTTGGCCCGAACGTCAGCACGTTCTCGCTGCCCGCCGAGCTCTTCCCGACCGAAGTCCGCGTCCAGCTCAACGGGATGTCGGCCGCCGCTGGCAAGCTCGGCGCGGCCGTCGGCGCGTACCTCTACGGCCATATCCAAGTCGCCTACGGCGTGCCCTCAGTGCTCATTGTCTCGGGCTTTGTATCCGTCCTCGGCTTTGCCATCACGTACGTTTGCATTCCGTGCAAACAGTACCGATGAGCCATTTGCAGCTAGTCTATACGTATATATATTCTGAATCAAGAAGAGCCTTGGTATCACTGCTGGCGGCTTGTGGCTATGGAGCGAGGAGCACTAGGCATCGATGGCAGAGGAGCACAGCGCGACTGTGGATGGCTGCGGGGATGGGACCGTGTCAGGACTATGGTGACGCCACCATGCAACAAGATGCTGGGTACACTGCGAGACACGCGCTAGTGTCGTAAGCGAGCGAGTAGCTAGGATATAGCACCCATGAGAGTAGTGGACGGTAGAGCCTCAGTAAAGCTGAAGCAACCTGGCGCCAACTACTGGCGCAGTTGACGGGCCTGCATCCGACCCGCTATGACGTGGCCGGTTGTGGTCGGTGCAGCCTAGATGCCATTGGCTGGTTCTGTCCAATGATCGCATGAGAAAAGGTTAATTTCGAGATCTTTTCAGCCAATCAGCGCCACACGATTGTCTGGCGATGGAAGTGAGCGAGCCGCAACGTCCGGCGGAGGATGGCCCGCGCAAGGCAATGGGGTCCCGGCTAACGGCGGCGCAGGTCGAGTACCTCGTGAGCCAGCGCGATGAGCATGGGATCACGTATCGCGCAGAGCACAAGGAGGCGCGCGAGGCCATCGCCAAGCACCTGAACCTCGAAGTGGCGCAGATGCATGTACGCGGAGGCTCGCCATCGGCTCGAAAGGTCATATGCTTGCTCTAGGTCTGGTTCAAGAACCATCGGCTGCGCGACCCAACGCTCAAGGTCGAAGCGCAGCCAGCGAGCGCCAAGATCAAGAAGCGCCGCCGCAGCACGGCTGACCCCGCCGCCGAGCACTCCGCCGAGCCAAAGCGAAGTACCGCAGATCGCCCGCCGTTGCGCCTTAGCGAGCCCACCCTTCGCCCGCCGTCAAGCTTTCTCGAGCCTTCGACCGAGTCGTCGCGTTCCATCCTCCACGACGATACCGCCGCATTCGACGAAGACGAGAAGGACGCTTTGGCCCTCGCCGCCCACAAGCGCATTCTCACGGACCTCGACACGCTCAGTCCGTGCTTTCTTCAGCGGTGTATTGTCTGACGCGCTTCGCGTAGATGCGCTCGGCTTTAGCTCGATGCTGGCGCTGCACAACGAAGCGACCGACGTCGGCAGCTACGACGTCCGTGGGCCGCTCGCCGTGCAGGCCACCGAGTACCTCTTGCAGCAAAAGAAGATCGACATGCAAAATTTCCTGAAAGACTTGACGGCCGCCAACAAGCTCTACCCCGAGCTGCGCGAGACGACCAACACGCACCCGACAAGCAGCGCGAGCTCGCCGCAGTAGCGCCATAGCGGACTAGATAGCTGCGTAAGAAGACTGAGTTCATTGCATTTCTTGTTTATCCCAGCCGCCTGCGCAGTCATCTACAGTCCATGACAACGCGCGCTACAGCGACGAGCTCGCGCTGCTTGTCGTCGCGGTGCTTGTCATCTCGCGCAGCTCGGGGTCGAG